GAAAGAAAGAAAGAAAGAAAGAAAGAAAGAAAGAAAGAAAGAAAGAAAGAAAGAAAGAAAGAAAGACATGGGTATTTTCCCACATCATTATAGTTGTGCTTTTAAAGTTGTAGCAATGGTTTTTTCTTAATCCAAAACCGTAGCCACTATAGAAAACCCCAGCTACAAAAACAAACAAAACCAAACCAATAAAATTGTTTTCAAAAAAAAAGAAAACCCCAGCTACAGAATTATCAGAGAAGCCATAGAGATTGAAAAAAGATCTGAAAGCATGAATAGAAGAGATGATTCCACCAGACTGTCGATTATTTGGAAGCCTGCACTCATAAACAAAAAAATCTCCACACCACAAGCCAGGCAAACACCTGGGCACAAACAGATCCCCCCTGATACCTGCAGCTCAAATACACCCCAACCAGGCACCCAGATGAAACCTGGCTTCCTAATAAATGATAGCCGTCCATTTACTCGAAGCCAAGCTGCACTAAAAGCCTCCAATACAGGAAACACAATGTTGCCAGCCAATCAAGACAAAAAAAAAGCCACAAAACAGACAGAAGATATTAGAAACACCAATCAAGCAGAACACAGCAAATTCCAAGACCAATAAACACAAACCAAGACTCCCAACCAATCAGGATTAAAAAAAAAAAAACATTCTGGCACAGCAGTAGGCTAGCCCCAGATTTAAAACAGAAACGGCTGTGAAAGCCTGACTCGCAGACGAACTCAATACAGAAGCCTGATGATGGCAGATGAGATCCTGGCGAAACACAACTATAATGACGTGGGAAAATACCCGAACAAAGCTGAATACCATACATGTAAGTGCCCGCGAAAACTTAAGAAAAAAAAATAGATAGATATAGTTATAGATATAAAGATATAGATATATAGATATATATATGGAAAATGAATCCTCCCTGGCTGGGGAAATCATATACATGTCAAATTCTTGCCTGGATTCTTAAATTTTAGAGGGGCTTTTTTTTTTTTTAATCTTATGAGTAGTCCTGGAGCAATCCTACTCTCTATAAGGTCTCCAGCTGTGCAGATTCTCCAGGAAGGAAAGTGGGAAGTAAATGAGTAAGCGACTAAACAAACAAACAAACAAAGAAATGGCACTCGGGGGATGGAGAAAAAAATGTTGCAAGAAGGATTCCTTCGCAAAACCAAGAAACAAACCCGAAGGCAGAGAGAGCGCAGATGTTAAGAAGTAACAGAAGAACGGAGTTGGGACCTTGGAGGTCTTCTAGTCCAACCCCTTGCTCAAGCAGGAAAGTCGGAAGTGATGCCAGTGGATGGGAGGGAGAAAAGGATGGGACGGGGAGAGCGCTTGGTGGAAAACTTGACTGATGCGCGCGCGCTCCGGCTCCTCTCCCCGATCCAGCTGGGTTGCGCTGCCCGCGCCCGCCTTCTGCAGAAACTTCCACAGCTGCGCCCGCCCGTCCTCGCCTTGCGCCGCCCTAGAAGCCGGCCACTCAGACTCGCCTTGCCGAGCCGGAAGACCCCACCCCCGGCAGGGCAATCGAGGAAGTGGCGGGGCTGCTCAAGCAGGGAAGCCGAACGCGCCTCCTCCTCCTCCGCCTCTTCCTCCGGGTTGGCTCCGTTTCCCCAGCGCGGAGGCGGGGACGGGCATCCCACCAGTGGGCGTCCCGCGCAGTCGGCCCTTCTGCAACCCCCACCGCCCCACCGCCTCCGGTTTCTCCCTTTTCCAAGTCTCAAGACGTGGAGGGCGCGCCGAGTTTCTCCGCAAGCCTTGCCCAGATGGGAGGGCGCGGGGACCGAGACCCCGGTAAGTGCGCGCAAGGGTGGACACCTCGTGGTAACCAGCACGAACGATTGCGCTCGTTGGAGGCGTCTCTAACGACCGGTGGAAGAACCGAGCGCAGCCCCGAAGACTAAGAGGAAGGGGGAGGGGGAAATGAGCGGGGTGGTGGTGGTGGTGTCCCGCGGGAACCTTCCAGATTCGCCGGACTCCAGCTTGTCACGATTCCACCGGCGTCTTGTGCATCTGACGGGACTCGGAGGCTGGCTTGCCCGTTGCCAAAAGTGGCAGCGAGACTCGGCCTCGGGGTGCTGTCCAACATTCGCAGCTTCGGGCAAGGCAGGCTTGGCCGTTGCCCCCGATCCAGACGGCCACCCTGCAGCGAGAAGGGCCCGTTTCTGGATCTGCTGCTTATCGCTTGCTCGCGCGGATCTTCCAAGTTGAAGATTCGGGGTGCCCTAAGGCAGGTTGAAGTCAGCTCTGCCCTCTGCCTAAACTTGTAGAAGACTTCAGTTTCTCTTCCTCTCCAACCTCGCTTCCACCGCGCGCTCTCCCTTTCGACGGCTGCCCATGGCACAGGTAGCGTCAGGTTTGAACACTTCGCCTACCTAAACCTCTCTCCAACGTGCTGACTTGACAGCCGCTCTTGCGATTGGAAAGTTCCACAGGGCGAACTCCGGACCGGTTGGGAAGCACCCAGGGCTTCTGTTCTTTTTTTTAATCTGTGATGTCGGGCATGCTTCAGAGGGGGTATTCAGCAGGTTCTGACCAGTTCTGGAGAACTGATAGCAGAAATTATGAGTAGTTCAGAGAACTGGCAAATACGAGCTCTGACTGGCCCTGCGCCCATCTATCCTCTGCCTCCCAAGTCCCAAGCTGATTGGCTGGGTCTTCTTTGGTTACCCTGCACAGGAGAATGGAGCTAGAAGGCAGGTTACGGGGGTGGAGAGGGAATGGAGATTTTGCAGTATCCTTCCCCTGCCACGCCCACCAAGCCACACCCACAGAACCGGTAGTAAAAAAAATTGAATCCCATCACTGGCATGCTTGCCTGTTGATGGTACATCCGCGCTTGTAAATAGAGCAGACAAGGCACTTCCTTTTGATTTTCCCAGCAAGAAAAAAACCTTTAGGTTTGCAAGAGTTACATTCTGAATGGCTATTAAAGGGATAGGGCAGAGGAAGGGAAGGTTTTTGGGAAGTCTTCAAAAATGGTAGAATGTCTTCGGGGAAACTGTTTTGAGCCTTGGATGAACATAGGTAAAGGTTCCCCTCACACATACGTGCTACTCGTTTCTGGCTCTAGGGGACGGTGCTCATCTCTGTTTCAAAGCCGAAGAGCCAGCGCTGTCCGAAGACGCCTCCGTGGTCATGTGGCCGGCATGACTAAATGTCGAAGGTGCATGGAACGCTGTTACCTTCCCACCAAAGGGGTCCCTATTTTTCTACTTGTATTTTTTACATGCTTTTGAACTGTTAGGTTGGCAGAAACTGGGACAAGTAACGGGAGCTCACTCCATTACGCAGTGCTAGGGATTGGAACCGTTGAACTGCCGGCCTTTCTTTCTTTTCTTTTTTTTGTAAATTTTATTTGAGTTTTCACAAAAAGAAAAAAAATACTATTAAAACATCTATTTTGAAAGCAGAATAATCCCGGGTTACATTTCTTCGTACAGACACAAATTCAGGTTCATGCTCATTTTTATATTCTATTCCATATCTTGTTACAATTTTACATTTTCTACATGGCTTCTTCCCTCTTTTAATTAATTTCCTCAATTTTATTGTATTTATTTCATCTCAATTCAAATCATTATATTTATATTTTTTGTCTGTCCTGTTTCAATTGTCTATTATCTTTTCTCGTTAAACAAAATTTTTCCTGTAGTTACTGATTGATGTATGACGCCTTTATATCTTTCCCCTAAAGTTATAACACTCAATATAATACACAACTTCCATTCGGATTCTGCTTGGTACATTCTTAAACTACACTCAATATTCTTAAAAAGAAAAGAAAAGAAAAAATTATAATGTATATAATTAAAACAACATTCCATTCCAATTCAATTCTATCATTAATATTAATATTCATTACAGTCTTAACATCTTTCACGTTACTTTTCAATTAAATATCATACTTCTATGGGAACAATTATAAACTTTCCATCATCAATTCCCTTAACTTCTATTTTATAAAACCTTGACTAATTAAAGTGTTCCCATTCCTTCCTAATTCCATTTTCTCATTTATTTTATTTCATTTACTTTATTCACAAACATTTCACTAAGTTACACTAACCATTCTATCCCTCATTCTAATCATATGTGGTTTCCAATTTTCTAAAGTTATTTCTATTTCAAATATAGCAACACAATCTCATGTACCTTTACAGAATCCCCCTTTCAGTTAGATTTTCATCCATTATCTCTAAATAGGTCCTGTTTCTTTATATCTTGCTCCAGACCTTTGTAACTTCTTTTCCTTTCCTTCTTCTCTCTCTTCTTCTCTCTCCCCTTTTTATCCTTTTGTCTCTCTACTTCTATTTCCCTCTTCTGTATTCCCCTTTTCTGTTGCTTTCCAGTATTATACTTATTTTTCAAATTATTTTTCTTTGCTTTGGTTGTTTTTTTTAAGTCTTAAATTCTCCATCCTCTTTCCCCCCTTTCCTTTTTCTTCCCCACAGTTGCCTGTGGGAGCTTCATCACTGGAGGCTTTCAAGAAGAGACTGGATTGCCATCTGCCAGGAAGGGTGTAGGGTCTCCTGCTTGGGCGGGGGGTTGCACTAGATGACCTACAAGGTTCCTTCCAACTCTGTTATCTATCTATCTGACTGGTTCCGTGGACCAGAGGGGGCGTGGTTTCATGGGCTGCCTGCATCCCATGGATGGGCCTTTGCTTGTTTTCATGGCCTGGTTTCTGACATGCCATGGTCCAGTGCCAGTTCCCAGCCCAGAAACCTTGTTTCACTGCTTAAAATTCCAGGGTTTCAGGATTTCCCAGCAGATCTGTAACTGCAAGTTCCTTCTTGATACGCTATGTTTCTTTGTTTAAGGAGCTGCTTCAGGAATAGGTAGCTGTATATAAATGCACATCTAATTCTAAAATAGTATGATCCAGGAAGTTGTATTTTTGCATGTTCAAAAATAATTTGAAATATTGGTGTTTTCTCTTATTGTGTTTTACATATTTCCATTACGTATTTCAATTGTAAGGCAAATCATTGTTATTCCTCCTCTTTGCAAGATTTTGCTGTCAAATAATGCCTGCATTTTTAAAGTATCATATTAGCTATCCTACTGTTGGGCATTGCAGAATAGGCTCAGAACAAATGAAGCAGCATAACAGAGTTGGAAGAGACCTTGGAGGTCATCTAGTCCAACCCACTGCTCGAGCAGGAGACCTTCTACCGTTCCAGAAAAATGGCTGTCCAATCTCTTCTTAAAAGCCTCCAGTGATGGCGCACTCTGAAGGGAAGCTGTTCCACTGGTTAATTGTTCTGTCAGGAAATTTCTCCTATGTTGCTTCTCTCTTTGATTAGTTTCCATCTATTGTTTCCTTGTCAGTTCCTGCAAATTGCAATACCTGCAAAGTTGAATTGCAGGAAAATATTACTTTGGACTTTCTTCAAAGCAGATCATTTTGAAGATCAAAGAAATCTCCCAAGAAACCCTGGCTGTATTCTATAAAATAGTTTGCTAGAAGGAAAAAAACACACTCTGTTATAAACATATCCAGTGTTTTCACTCTGGGGATGAAAGGGTGTTTTGTGCACAATGATATATTTTGTCTTCCTGTAAGATAGTAAACTCATTTCTGAGCCAATCCCTTCAAGGCAAAGCTTAGGTTATGACTGCAAAGAAGAAGCCGACCAATCAGAAAGAAGAGGGAAGTTCCCAGCATTGGCCTATTTGGAGGAACTGAGTTTTTAGAAGTATGTATTTTTTTAATGCAAAGAGAGCAAGAAGTAAAAGCAAAACCATTTAACTCAAACACAATCCAGGGAGTTTGTATAGAGTGTCGGCTGAACAACCAAGACCTGGTGGAAAGCAAGCTAGAACTTTAAAAAGGAAGAATCTAGTAGTAAAAGAAAGTAAGTATTTGGTGTTGTAACTTTGATCTAGACTAGTCAAGCTGGAAACAAATTCTGTCTTTAGCTGCTGTCAAAGAATAAAGGTGGTTTTTTCCCCCTTCCAGAATAGTTGAAACAAAGATTTCTTTCATAATACAAAATACTGTTTATGTACTTTTGTCCTCTTGTAACTCTGCCTTGACTTTTGATCACATTAAGTGGCACCCCTTATCAGGGGTGGGATTCAATTTTTTTTAGTAACGGTCCTGTTGTCATGACTTGGTGGGCGTGGTGTGGCTTGGTGGGCGTGGCAGGGGAAGGTTACTGAAAAATCCCATTCCCTCCCCACCCCACTAACCTGCTTTCCACCTCTGTTCTCCTGTGCAGGGCAACAAAAGCAGACCTAGCTGGGACTCAGGAGGCAGAGAATAGATGGGGGTGGGGCCAGTTGCAAGTGGGATTTGCCGGTTCTCCGAACTGCTCAAAATGTCTGCTACCAGTTCTCTAGAACTGGTCAAAATCTGCTGAATACCACTTCTGCCCCTTATCAGAGCTAAGGGGCACAATGGCTTGGTGGTTAAAGATGCTGAGCTTGTCAGATGGAGAGCTGAAAGCTTGGGTTCAAGACTCAAGCCCCAGATAATGGGATGAGCTCCCATTCTTTGCAGCAGCTCCTGCTCACCTAGCAGTCTGAAAGCAGGCAAATGCGAGTAGATAAATAGGTACCACTTTGGTGGGAAGGTTACACTGTGCTGTGTACCTTTGGTATATAGTCATGCTGGCCACATGACCATGGAAGCATCTTCAGACAACACTAGCTTCCTTGGCCAAGAAACGGAGATGAACACCATGCCCTAGAATTGGGGAACTGGCAAGGCACTGGCAGGGAAACCTTTACCTTTTCAAAGCTACAGTTGGACTTTGAGAAGGATTGAATATTAGCCTAAAATTTCTCTCTCCCACTTCCAGACTGTACCATCTGTTGATTGAAGCATCGCTGAGTCACAGATATTAAAGTTATAGTTCAACTCATGACTGAATGTATAAATGAGATAAAGAACAGGTAGATATTTTATGTATTTTATGTAGGGCTGTACATTTATGGACTGACTGCTTTTTCAAACTTGGCACCAGATGGTTGCTGAGATCATAATTCAGCCTTTTGTAACTTTGACAAACAGAACTTGGGGCTGGTAAATATTCTCCTAGTTTGGGAAATGTATAGGAGGAAACCTGGATGTAATCTCACCTGTAAATTACATTCACTAATGTAATTTATTATTTTGCACGGCATAACAGAATACAGCATTAGTACATACAAATTCAGAAAAACAGCATGTAAACTGTGCAGTATAAAATAGCAGAAGAGTGATACCAAGCCCAAAATTGAATTATTTCAAAGAGTATGAATGATAAATGAAATTACAGAATTAAATTATGTATTAGTCAGTAGAATGACTGAACCTATGGCCGAATCTCTAGATTATTTAGCCATTGGGCAGCACTACCCTCAAGATTATGTATTTCATGTAGGAAGCCCAGTTGGCTGTTAAAAAGGACAACAGCAGATTTTGTGGCTGTAATATTGCAACTGCATTTTCTCAAATCCTCTTTTGCTCAATAAAAAAATGAAAAGTTGTTTTCTGACTTACTGATTGCTCTTATTAACCATGGTATCCAAGGTTGATTGCAGTCCTAGGCTGGATTAACAGAGGGATAGAATCAAGATCATGTGAAGCATTGATACCACTTTATAATGCCTTGATAAGACCCCACTTGGAATATTGCATCCAGTTTTGGTCACCACAATGTAACAAAGATGTTGAGACTCTATAAAGAGTGCAAGGAAGAGCAACAAAGAGGATTAGGGGACTGGAGGCTAAAACACATAAAGAACGGTTGCTGGAATTGGATATGTCTAGTAGTTTAATGAAAAGAAGGACTAGGGTTGACATGACAGCAGTGTTCCAATATCTCAGGGGCTGCCACAAAGAAGAAGGGGTCAAGCTATTCTCCAAAGCACCTGAAGGCAGGACAAGAAGCAACAGATGTAAAGTATTCAAAGAGAGAAGCAACCTAAAACTAAGGAGAACTTTCCTGACAAAACAATTAATCAGTGGAACAACGTGCCTCCAGAAGTTGTGAATGCTCCAACACTGAAAGGCTTTAAGAAGAGATTGGACAACCATTTGTCTGAAATGGTATCGGGTTTCTTGCTTGAGGAGGTGGTTAAACTAGAAGACCTCCAAGGTTATTCTTTTTCTATGGATTGACTCGATTATGCTTTAATCATTGTATTGTTCTGGGTGGAGACTCTTGAATTCAAGAACAGGCTACAGGGAATGCATTGTGAGGAAGAGCTAATTATTTATAGGTAGATATAGCTAGAATTTCTGTCCTAGCAATTGAGAACTAGGGTAGCTTTTCTATCTCAGGAATTGTCAATCCAGTGATGACGATGTATTATATTTATACCCGGTCTTTTCTGTTCTATTTTAAGGCTTTTATGGGGCTGACTCTTAATTTTATCATGTGGAAGGTCCGGAGGCCACCAAGTGTAGCCTTGCTGGTTCCCAAAATCCAGGGCTGATGGCCATGATCCACATATCACATGGGTGGGAGCAGGGTTGGGCTGCTGGGGGTTTGCAGGGGTTCGGGAGAACCCCTAGCTGAGATTCTGTGCAGTTCAGAGAACCCCCAAATCCCACTCCTGGCTGGCCCCACCCACCCCATCCCTCCCAGGAGCCCCCATGTGGCCCGTTTTGGATGCAGGTAAGTGCAGGATGCGTGTGGAGGCTCGGGGAGGGTGAATAAAGGGCCTCCCAGAAGTTCGGGAAGGTCAGAAATGGGCCTGTTTCCAGCTTCCAGGGAGCCTCCGGAGCCCGGGGAGGCCGTTTTCACCCTCTCAGAGGCTCAGGGAAAGCCTCCGGAGCCCGAGGAGCAGAGAACCCTTTGCTAAAAAATTTTGAAGCCCAGTCCTGGGTGGGAGGATCACAGTGCAAAGTAGACCAGATCAGGCTTTCTGGTTCTCCCTCCTGGTTCTTCCGCCTGAACTGAGGGGAGAGAGCTTAAAGGGGTTTTCCTCTGTATTCTGAACTTATGTATACTGACCTCACTTAAGGCTTACATGAATACTTTGTGACCATTTTGGTTCTCCAAATGGCAGGAAACTGCCGCCAGTGTTGAGCTGTTGTGGTTAGAGGTTCTTTGGGAGCCCCTGACAAATAATTTGAGAGCCACAGGTCATTCCCGTTAACCAAAACCAAAACAACAACACAACAAAAACGATCTGGATTACCAGACATATCATCTTATGGTGGTCCTGCAGGGAATAATGTTGAGTCCTTTTTTAAGGTTGGCATTTGGTGCTTCTTCCCTGCAGAAGTTCATGGCCTGGCCTGGCTGTTTGAAAGAACATGAGCTACTGCCTAACCTTTGAGCCACTAAGCAATTGCTCTTTTGTTTGATGAAGTGTGGCTGGCATTTGCATAATGAAAGGGGAAGTGCAGAAGCGGAGCTCTTGCAAGGGGTGGCAAAGATTGGGCATTTTATTGGTTATCTGCAAAAAGGTGTGATGACCTGGGGCGTGGCACAAAAATAACCAAATCACAAAAATAGAAGAAAGTCCCTTTAATGCCTCCAACTTGGCCCCAATGTCCAATTATCCTCGGCTGGACATCAAACTCTTAAAGAAAACAGTTTATGGAGGGAGTAAACGCAGTCCACACCCAAAGTAAAGTTAATTTGAAATAAAAAACCAAACACACCACACTGAAGGAATTACTATGGCAGGCACGGATGATTGCAGCAACCACAGTTGGCAGGAAGCCAAAACACAGAGAAGCTCCGACAAGATTGCACGCTTTTCTTACAGCAACTTTGCCATGTGCAGTTTGTCCTTTTAAACAGTCCTCTCAGCTGCAGCCCATGAAGGGGATCAGGGCCCCTTTCTCCCCCGTAGACCACGCCACTCATGTTTCTCCCTTATCCGGTTCTCCCTGTGTGCCCTAGGATGAAGAGGAGATGGGCCTCGGTCTTCCTCTGAATGCCCATCCAGCCTGTGCCCTTCCCCAGTTTCCTCCACAACCACTGGAGCCACATTCCCACCCCCTGTCAGCTGTTCCATCTCTCCCTTGGAGTCAGACTCCAACAGGGGCATGACAAATGAGTCCCTCAGGCCGCCCATTCAGTGCTGCAGATTTATTTATTTATTTTATTTTTATTTATCAAGCATGTATTAGATAACAAATATAATTAGAAATTATTATGATTACATGAAATGGGTACAAATAAAAGGGAGATATTAGGACAGGGATGGTAGGCACATTGGTGCACTTATGCACGCCCCTTAATGCTTCATACTTAGCTAAAAGGACCAATGTTTTTAAGCTGGAAGATAAGATCTCGTCTTTCTTCGCTTGAGCTTAAATGGAAATGGTCTATGAGATTGATGTTTTGAACTATTCTTTATTAAAACTACTTTTTTGAAATTTCTTATGCGATAGAGCAAAATACCTAGCTTAATTTATCCTGTTGTTTCCTTTCTCCTGTATAATTCTTCACTTTTGATTTTTTTTAATAGATTCCATGTGATTTCCAGGAATATGGGACTAGAACACTTCAGCAAAAACATAATATATTTAAATCCCATCTTCCTGTATTACAAATTCACATACAGTAGAAATAAGCCTTAAAATTATATAAGCAGCTAGAGAGTACAAAACCCATTCCGTAATTCAGAAAAATCCATTTGTTACAATGTATTAATATTTATACAACACACTAACATTTCCACTAAGATTTCCAGGAAAATAGGGCTAAAACACTTTAGAGAAAGTATACTATATTTATTTCTGAAATAAACTAGATTTGCATTTAAAAAAAAAAACTTTAATCTTCACTATTACTATTTTCTGTGGATTTGTTTAATAAAGGAAAATTAATTTGGATTACTCTCTTTGTTTAACTCTTTTTTTAAAAAAACAGAGCCATTCCCTTCTGAGCTGTGACGCATAGTTTGGTGTTTTGAAGATGGATATGCTAGTCTGGCTTTGCAGACGATGTTTCAGATATTAGGAGTGTTGGAGTGTTGATGGTTTAAAACTTTCCGCCAAGCGCCGAGAATGTATTGGTGTGTCAGGAGAGAGGAATCTGGAGAAAATGGCGAGAATCCCAGAGAGGAACAAGAAGGTAAGCATGAAACCAGCATGCCTGTTTTTCTATTTATCCATTAGTCAATGAAGGTTTCGGTCAAGTGGGATGAATCCCTATGTAGAAAGTTAGCACCCACCCCTCTCCCAGAAGAATGGAATGTTTTAGAAAACATTAAAAAGGCAGAATATTATATTTCCCTGGGTAAGAAATGGAGAAATGTTTTTTTAAAGGCAGAGAGCAAACTCACTGTTAATAGTCCTCACCTTTTAAAATAGCCCACAGCAGATGTCAGCACTTAAGAAATAAAGATATAGATAGCTCTATTCATAAGAAAATCCCTGCAGCAAAGTCTGAACAAAGCTAGGGTTAGCCCTTGGCCACAATAGGAATAGCCCAACAAGCTCCTCCATTGGATCATCCTCCAAACTTCAACCAAACCTAGCTCAGACAATCTACAGAACCAACTGCATGGCACCATGGGAGTCTGGCAACAGCCAATAGGATACATGTTCTTGTACAAGAACAGGAAGCTCATGTTCAAAGCCCAAGAGAAGGTATAAATACCCCTCACTCTCAACTCCATGTAGTCAGATACCCAGAATCCTACATGCTTGGTTGCTGCTTCATCAATAAATGGGCCTTCTTTCCAATCATCCTCCAGCCTCCATTTTGTCTCCAGTGCCTGGACCTGGATATTTCTTCCAACTTACATGGACCAGTGTGAAGGAAGGACATGGAGTTCCTTAACTATGTTTTTCTCCCTCACATCATCCTTCTTTTTCCAATCCAAGGGAGTTACTTACAGACTGTTGGCAAAACACACTCAACCAAGTCAGTGTAAGAGCTAGCAGCTGCATTCGCAACTGATACAAAACTTGGCTGCTGTTAATTATGTTTGGATTTTGGGGGTGATTATTCTAGTGTGCCAATCCAACTTTTTTTTTTTATGGTTCATGGTTGATGGACTGCAGAAACTCAGCTCAAAAACTTCATATGCGTGTTGTGGGAATATACAGGAGCAGGATAAAGTCTTCCGTCCCATACTGGCAAAAGGTTTGTGGTTTTCCCCGCACACGTTCAGGGTCTTTTGTGAGCAAGTTAGTCCTGCCACTAAGGAAAATGAAACAGTTTCTTCAAGTAGCAGGTTTGGATATCAAATTAGCAGATCATCACTTTCTTCACTTTTGTTTAATTTGCTCTGCTACAGATGCAGAGAAATGTGTCTCTGGGGTTTTCTGTGCCACAAGCCTAAGTAACTTGTGATTTTTGTGTATCATGTTTTACGTAGGAGGACAAATGCCATCTGTTAAGATCCCCTTAGGCTGAAAAATGTCTTGAGTTGGTTCTTGGTTCTTGCGGGTATCTGTTGATGGAGAGCTGGGCTGACACCTTTACCCAGTGAACAGTCTGGAAAGCCTGCAGAGCTTTCCAAAGTGAAACTAGATCTGTCAAGTTGTGGGTTGGGATGTGGTTTTTTTTTTTTTTTTTTTGAAGCGGAGGCAGGAGTTATATCGAGAACAAGACAGAAGGAATAGCAGTTTAAGCAGAAAGTAGATATGTATAGATCTTATATGGGTCATGTGTACTTAGAGGTTTAAGTTGTGGCAAGTGTGGCACCGGGTCTACCTAGAAGGCTGACAGCTATGTAGCATGAGTCTTTCCTTTGATGCACTGTTTGTCTAGCATGATCTTGCTAGCATGGTGTTTTTTGTAGCCTGATTCTGGTTCAAAGGCATTAGCCTGCACTTTAAATTGGAGAATACAAAGCACTGCCTTTTCAGTCTTACTCCTCCATTCATTGGTTTGATTTCACCAAGGAGAGGGAAGTGTGATCGAAGGGCAGATCCACTAGTTGGTATGACTCATTTAAAGAAACAACATCCTCAAGATACTTCAGGAATTAAGTGGTTCTGGCAGTGGTGGTATTCCACTGGTTCGGTCCGGTTCTCCCGAGCTGGTAGTGCCAATGAGCAGCGGAGGCCAAACCGGTTCTCTCCACTGCTATTGGGCCCACCTGCCTGCCCGGGCTCCCATACTCACCTTTATTCCCTGCTTTTGAAGCACAGCTGCTTTGCGTGACACAGCAGAGTGTGCTGTGCGGCAGCTGCTGAAGCAACAGGGAGAGTGCAGGCTTGCAGAAAGCGAGTTGGGACACCTCTGCGCCTGCGTAAAGTGTTCATTTGGCACATGCACGCATGCAAAGTGTGTGCACGTGCACAAAGAATGCTCACCAAGCCACGCTCACCGAACTGGTGGTAAAAATCTTTGAATCCCACCACTGGTTCCTGGCTCAACAGCAGGGAGAGGGATCTAGGTGTTGTAGTGGACAACCACTTAAAAATGGGCCAACACAGTGTGCTGCAGTTGCCAAAAAAGCCAACACAGTCCTAGGCTGCATCAACAGCCTATCACACAAAGTGATAGTACCGCTTTATGGTTCACTGTTGAGACCATGCTTGGAATAGCGCATCCAATTCTGGTCACCACAATACCCAAAAAGATAAATACAGATGTGATAAGTTTTGAGTGGTGTCATCTGTATCTGAATATAAGAAGAGTTTCCTGTTCCAAGAGGTGGAGAGCTCCAGGTAAAGGCTCCATGAAAATGAAGACATTGGATAAATTATGGAAACTTAATATAGCCCACAAGGCTCAGTGGCTAAGACACCAAGCTTGTCGATCAGAACGGTCAGCAATTCGGCAGTTCGAATCCTTAGCGCTGTGTAATGGAGTGAGCTCTTGTTACTTGTCCCAGCTTCTGCCAACCTAGCAGTTCGAAAGCATGTAAAAAATGAAAATAGAAAAATAGGAACGACTTTGGTGGGAAGGTTACAGCGCTCTGTATGCCTTCGGCATTTAGTCATGCCGGCCACATGACCACGGAGATGTCTTTGGACAGCACTGGCTCTTCAGCTTTGTAACAGAAATGAGCACTGCCCCCTAGAGCCAGAAACAACTAGCATGTATGTGCAAGGGGAACCTTTACCTTTTACCTTTAAAGTACTCCACAGTGCTGTATTATTTAGTTGTGTGAAGAGGTTTTAGTCCTTTAGTGAATTTCACAAGAAAATCAAGTCACTTCTATAATAACCTTGTGAAGTTGGTCGGTTTCCTCATCTGGATGAGGAAAATGAATGTAGCAAACAAGTTGAGATATGGGTGGGGGGGGGTTCGAGAAACCCCCAGGACATAATTTAATTTGAAACTGGGTTGCTGTAGTCACAAAAATCCATTTTCCTTGCTGTGAAAGGCAGGTTTCATTGGGTGAGCCTATCTTGAAGTTTTAAGATTAGTAGAAAGTCAATATCTTCTGGTTGGTTATCCATTAACTGAGAAGCCTGTTGAAGCTGCCCTTTTTTTCTCATCTTACACTCTGTAGTGTTGTGTATGCTTTCAAGTGCTCATGTTATATTGGCTCTTCGTTGAAAGTACAACTCCGGTTCAGATGCAAATTCCACTTTGCATCTTATCAAAGAATTGGAAGACATTCAAGAAAGCTGTTTAATGCAGAGGCACCCTGGCAGTCTTTATAAGAAATGTTTTCGTTAACTTTATTTTTTTATTCCCCACCCGCTCACCTCTATTTGGTAATTTAACTTTGGAGTTGAATTTATATTTTACTGACAAAGAAATAAAGGGAGACCAGTATAGATCTATTTATTTATTTATTTGTCAATTGCTTATAAGATAATAGGTATAAGTATAAACATGAGTAAGAATACAGGAAATAGATACAAATAAATGGGGACAATAGGACAGGGACGGTAGGCATGATGGTGCCCTTAAGCAGGCCCCTTACAGACCTCTTAGGAAGGGGGTGAGGTCAATAGTGGATTTCAAGTAGGGGTGGGCTTCAAAAATTTCAGCAATGGGTTCTCTTCCCGGTTGCTGGGTGGGCATGGCTATTGTAGGCATGGCCTAGTCAACCTCCTGCAACACGGGGGGGGGGGGTGCATTTTCACCTTCTCCAGGCTCTGGGGGCTTTCCTCGAGCCTCTAGAAGGACAAAAACTGCCTCCCCCGGGGTCTGGATGCCCTCTAAAAACCAGAAATGGGCCCATTTCTGCTTCTGGGAGGCCAATTCTTTCCCTTCCCCAAGCCTCCACATGGGCCCTGCACTTACCTCTCATCCAAATCGGGCCGTGTGGAGACTCCTGGGAGGGGTGGAGTGGGAGGGGCAGAGCGGGGTGGGGTGGGAGGAGCCAGACAGGAGTGGGATTTGGCGGTTCGCTGAACCAGACGTAACGTTAGCAACAGGTCCTCCTGAACCAGGGCAAAACCACAGCAGCCCACTCCTGATTCCAAGCTATTTAGCTCTCATCAACTAGCCATACCCTTTCTGGGTTTTGAACCCAGGCTGCTTGTATAGTAACCTCTAAGTCATGGGCTCTCCTCCCTTTGTTGGCTTTGGAGATAAATAAAAAATGGACTATTAAGAAATCACGCTAAAATGGGTAGTTCTATTTGTATCTGACACTGCTGATGCTCACATATCACTGCTAAGGGACATTGCGTGGATTTGTTGCCACCAAAATGAAAAGTCTCTCTTTCCTTCTGACAAAGGAAGATACTTTCGAGCGTCAGGATGCTAAGACAGCTCAGGAGAGGCATGCACAGGCTTTGTCAAGTTAATAATCTTGACATTTTCCGAGCTCCCATTGAGAAAGAGCAGATTGTGTGGATTCCAAAGGGAACTAATGCTCTCTTTGCTGCGAGAGGTTTGGAGATACCCTTGCAAGCAGAATGACATGAAAGTGAATTCTATGCAGTAATAATTTGATGTGAATTCTCTCCAGAGCTGCCTAACTTCAAATTCCTGCACTCCACCTTTACACCTTGCAGAAATGTCAGAATTGTTATTGAAACCCTTTGTGTGTGTGTGTGTGTGTGTGTGTAGTAAAGTTTGCATTGTGCAAATAGGTGTCTTAAAGATCTTCAGGGCTAAAATTCCTTGTACAAGGATTAAAAGGATACAAAGATAAAAGCTACGGAGGCTTAACATCTTTTATTGAGCTGCTTGCTTTTCTCTCCAAATACTACAGTCATCTCTGGTGAGATGAGCGACTGTATAAATGTGATCAGCAAATAAATAAATAAATAAAGTTGTTGTTTTGCTGCTAATGGCATAAAGGTTTTGTGCTACTTGATTTTCGTTTTCCATTTTTATTAGTTGTATTGAAAGCCCTCAATGGTGGAAGAGTATAGACGTTTATAGCTATATTAAAAAGTATTGTTTTGTTCCAGATGTTGAATTTCATTATAAATTAAAAATACTGTAGATGGACAACACATGGTGATATATTTCTCCCTTTCCTGGTACCAAATTGGTAGTGGTGGAGGAGGAGGAGGAGAAGGAGGAGGAGGAAGTGGAGGTGGAGAAGGAGGGGAGGACTGTGGGGTCCTTGGTGCTCTCTGAGCTTGTTGGTTTCCTTGCAGACTTTTCATTATCCAAACTAGGTAACATCATCAGTGCTAGAAGAGAATGGGGTTTGTGGAGAAGAGAAAGAAGAGAAGAGGAGGAGGAGGAAGGAGATCTCTAACAAGCATCCCCTGATGGGACTCTTTCTTGACCAGGATTTTCAAGTGGTAGCAGCAGAAAGCTAAAACAGCACTTTTGGTTGCATTAACATGAAGTCAGGGGCATCAAAGGCAATTTGAAGTTGTTTGTAATCCTCTGTTGGGCCAAAAGAAAGCCTGCGTGACTGTATGTACATGCTGCTTGTAGCAGCATGCCAGTTCCAATAAATATTTGTAGCTCAGGGTTGAATTGAGGGGTCCTTGGTGCTCTCTGAGCTTGGTTGTTTCATTACCCAAACTAATGAATTCTAGTGACTAGCACTGATGATGTTACCTAGTTTGGGTAATAAAACACATGCCGGTTGCTGAAGCCAGCCTTCAGCTGAAGTGTTCAGCTTTTGCCTGGATTTTAGAGCTGCCTTTTTCTGTGCATCCTTCAAACACTCTCGGAGGTCTGAGAATTACTCTGCAAAAATTGTTGGTGCCTTTGCAACTCCCCAAAGCCATCTCCTATGTCTCCGGACTTGGACTCCCTTTTAAATAATTGATGAGGAAGATTTGATGGGTAGCCAAAGCTGTCGGTTTTCAAGGATATTGGTTGACTTCTATAAGGTAAAAGATAAAGGTTCCCCTCGCACATATGTGCTAGACATTTCTGGCTCTAGGGGATGGTGCTCATCTCCGTTACAAAGCCGAAGAGCCAGTGCTGTCTGAAGATGTCTCCGTGGTCATGTGGCTGACATGACTAAATGCCAATGAGGCACAGAACACTGTGACCTTCGCACCAAAGTGGTCCCTATTTTTCTACTTGCATTTTTACAAGCTTTCGAACTGCTAGGTTGGCAGAAGCTGGGACAAATAGTGGGAGCTCACTCCGTTATGTAGCGCTAGGGGTTCGAACTGCCAAACTGCCGATCTGTCTGATCGATGTTCAGCGTCTTAGCCGTTGAGCCACCGCGTCCCTTAGACTTCTATAGATAACCCTAATGTCTGCTTTACTTTGGAGCTCCTTGAGATATTCCTGTATGACAGTTGTCCTTTTAGCAATGAATGGGGGTAAATAAATAAAGTACTTTTTAGAACTCCTAGAGTTGTAAAACTCTTCAGTCCCTGATCTGGCCTGCCTTGATTGGCTGAGACAGTACCTCTGTTGGATTAGGAATCAACCCATGGAAAGTACCATTGGTAGAAATAATAAGGAAGTTGCTTTGTTCCTTTCATTTCAAAAAAAATACATACATTACAAGGACTTTCCACTCTTTCCTTTCATCTTTCCTTTCATTCATGATGATTAGTTTGGTTAGGGTTTTTTAATTGCTTTTGTTTTTTAAAGATTCAAAGCAGAATGAAAGTTGGCAGACAATATATAAAATGTGCCAACTATATAGCTAGCATGTAATAAACTTGTAGTGCATTGAACTAAGCTGCTGTTCCTAGTTTCAGGTCATTCCTTAACTTTAATGACCACAATTCAGCCCAACATTTCTGTTACTAAGCAAGACAATTGTTAAATGAGTTTGGGCCCACTTTTCTGGCCATAGCTTTGTTCCTTATGCCATCTGTCTTGTACATTTGCAGGGTTCTTCCCCCCACCCCCATGTATTTCTATACATTCAAACTAGACTGTGATGTTTCCTTGTGTCATATATGTGTATGTATGTGGGTATATGCATAATGGTTATCTTTTGAGAGCTGAATGCAACAAAATCTCATTTTAATGTATGCTGATTAGTGTATATTTAAAGTGACAATAAAAAAATATATTCTGTATTCTATTCTACTCTAAAGCAGATAATACTAATAAATAAATACTTATAAATACTTATTCTATTCTATTCTATTCTATTCTATTCCATTCCATTCCATTCCATTCCATTCCATTCCATTCCATTCCATTCCATTCCATTCCACTCCACTCCACTCCACTCCACTCTATTGTTAAATAAATCTGTAGCTAATAAGCTAAGTTGTTAAGTGAATTTGGCTTCCCCATTGACACCGCTTGTCAGAAAAATCACAAAAGTGATCACATGACCCCAGGGCACTGTAACCGTCATAAATATGAGCCACTTGCCACAATGGTGGGATTCAAATGTTTTTTACTACCAGTTCTGTGGGCGTGGCTTGGTGGGTGTGGCTTGGTGGGTGTGGCAGGGGAAGGATATTATAAAATCTCTAGTCAGAGGTGATATTTGCCGGTTCTCCAAACTACTCAAAATTTTTGCTACGGGTTCTCCAGAACTGGTCAGAACCTGCTGAATCCCACCTCTGACCTGCCAAGCATCTGAATTTTGATCAGATGGGGACAGTGCAATGGTCATAAGTGTGAAAAAAGCTCATGTCATTTTTGCAGTGGCATTCTAACTTTGAATGGTCACTAAATGAACTGTTGTAAGTCAAGGACTACCTATACTCGTGCCTGATCGTTCTTACTTATTGTCGGTCTTGTTGTCATTCCTATTAAATATCTTTTATCCTTTGTGTACAGAAATGTCGGACGTGGGTGGTCAACAGTCCACAATGGAGTCTCTCTCCCCTGGCCAGACCTCTGCAAACGAGACCATTCAGAGTCTCTACCGAAGTGGAGACTTGGAGGCTGCTCTACAGCTGGTCCAAGCAGCCAGCAGGAGGAATCTCTCTCAAGAGGAGAAGGTTGATAAAGTTGATAAATGTGATAGATCTTACTAATACTGTTACTGGGAATTGGATTAATATGAACGAATTGAAGCACTAAAGAGAATAAGAGACAATGGATAGAAAGAATTGCCCTTTAAATACTATTGTAGAGTGATCGTAAACTGATAGAGGCAGACATAAAATTAGATAGGGGAAATATTAGAATATAAATGTTCATAGAATAAATAAAAATAATAGAAAGATTAGAAGTCTATAGAGGTTAGGCATTTTTTAATGTATGTTTAAACAATATAATGAGGATTACTTAAATTTGATAAACGTGATAGAGATGACTAATATTGTTACTGTGAATTGGATTGATATGAATGATACCCAGAACCAACTCTGTTCACACACAACATGGACAGATATTATTATTATTATTATTAATATTATTATTATTAATAATAATAACAATAACAATAATTTTATATATATACATATATAAATTAAAAAGGGGAGAAGGTGAGGACCCAGGAACTTTACTTGGCCTCTGAAAGTTTGAAGGAGTTGAAGGTTTTGAGGACGACTGATCTCAAAATTAAAAAAAAAAATTATGCTTCCCTTTCTCAAATCAGGGGCACCTGTTGAGCCTTTCAACTACCTATGGGGACCTGCTGGCCGTGAGATACTTGTTAAAGGAGACAGGTGTGACCATAAGCCCTGAACCCAATGATGATAACCCAGCAGTGGTAGCTGCGTATTTTGGACATAAGGACATAGCACAAGAATTGCTAGAATCTTTTCTTGGTAGGTTGAGTTTCTAGCCCTTCTCTTTCTGTACACTTTTACTTACGTCATGTAGTCCTCAACTTACAAGAGTTCATTTAGTGACCATTCAAATTCACAATGGCACTGAAAAAAAGTTATTTACGATCAGTTTTCACACTTATGGCCGTGGTAGGATCCCCATGTTCATGCGATCAAAATTGGCAATTGACTCATATTTATGACGGTTGCAATGTCCTGGGGTCACGTGATCCCCTTTTGCGAACTTCTGGCCAGCAAAGTCAATGGGGAAGCCAGAGTTCACTAAACAAACAATTTGATGAATTAACAACTACAGTGATTCACTTAACAACTGCGGCAAGAAAAGTTGTAAAATGAGGCAAAACTCAACTAACAAATTTCTCACTTTGCAACCTCAATTTTGGGGTCAAATGTGGCCATACATCGAGGACTACCTGCTTATGGAAGAAGCTGCCAAGATGTATTCAACAAACCATGCTTTGGGTAGTGTGAATAGTGCAGTGGCCTTAGATGGGGAGCTCTCGTCTCACAATCAGGAAGCTGTGAGGCTGTGAGTTCGATCTTAGATAGTGGCAGATATTTCTCTCTCTAGGCACAATGAGAATATATCTTCTGGAAAAAAACCTCTGCATTGGTAACAGGAAGGGCATCTGGCCATTAAACACTCAGCTCCATTCAGTTTTCCAGACTCCACCCCACAAGGGTTTATGGGGTTGTTAATGGAGATGATGAACAGGGCATTTGCACAACATGCTAAGCCAAAACCAGTCCAGAAAAATTCACACGTTGTCTTTGCCCAAACAAGTCATGGTTGTTATAACATCAGTCCACGAATGCTCGTTTTGATAGGTGCAACGAACATCTCGCAATTGCTGAATTGGATGCTGGTGGTGGCATGTCAGCAAGGCCATCTAGAAGTGGTTAAGCTCTTAGTGCTGGCATACAGAGCGGATCCTGACAGCTACGCTGTGAGAAAGAATGAGTTCCCGGTCCTTCTTCGATTGCCACTTTATGCCGCCATGCAAGAAGGTGTGTGATGGTTTGTTCCTTCTGGGATGATTTCTTCCTTTTTGGGGGACTCTCAGGGACCACTTTCCCAAAAGGGAGGATGGCTACCAGAAAAGTGGAATTGGGGCATGCATGGTGTAGTATTTAAAGTACACAGAGGTGGTATTCAGCAGGTTCTGACAAGTTCTGGAGAATCAGTAGCAGAAATGTTGAGTAGTTCAGAGAACCAGCAAATCCCACCTCTGACTGGCTCCGCCAACCCCATCTCTTCTCTGCCTCCTGAGTCCCAGCTGATTGGCTGGGTCTTCTTTGGTTGCCCTGCACAGGAGAACAAAGCTGGAAAGCAGGTCAGTGGGGTGGGGAGGGAATGGGATTTTGCAGTATCCTTCCCCTGCCACGCCCACCAAGCCACACCATGCCCACCATGCCACGCCCACCATGCCACGCCCACAGAACCAGTAATAATTTGAATCCCACCACTGAAAGTACAGTAGTCCTCAGCTTACAAACAGTTCATTTAGTGACTGTTCAAAGTTACAATGGCACCAAATCAAGTTGCAGCATTCCCAGGGTCATGTGATTTGCAGTCGGAGGCTTGGCAACTGGTTCATATGTGTGAGAGTTGTGTTGTCCTGGGGTTATGCAACTCCCTTTTACGACCTTTGGATAAACAAAGTCAGTGGGGAAGCCAGCTCAACGACTCAAGAGATTTACTTAACAACTGAAAAAGACAGGATACAAATTGAATTTTGAATTGAAAATTGTATCCGTTGCATCTGTTAAAGCAACTGATATGATAGGATTATTTCCTGTGTTATTTTAATCATCTGCTGGTTGATTAGCATTCACAACTATAGTTTGGCGGCCATTCTGGAGGGCTGGACGGAGGTCTTAACTTGGAGAATGAGGCTGTATTAAATAAACAGGCAGTCCTTGTTTAGTGACCGACTCATTTAGCAGTTCGCAGTTATGGTGGTGATTAAAAGAAAAGTAGCTTTAACAAGCAATCCTCGCATTTACAAACCTCTCAGGTCTGTAAAGCAGAGAAAAGCTGAAGTCAGATTGTAAACACAATTGTGGTTTCCATTAGTCACCACTTCACTTAGCAATCAAGTGGCCAGTCCCAATTCTGTTCACTAAATGAGGACTAGCTGTATTCTTGTTTTAAGGAATGACTTTCAGAATAGAATAATAGAGTTGGAAGGGATCTTGGAGATCTTCTAGTCCAACCCCTGCTCAAGCAGGAAGCCCTATACCATTTTAGACAAATGGTTGTCCAATCTCTTTTTTAAAACTTCCAGTATTGGAACATTCATAACTTCTGGAGGCAAGTTGTTCCACTGATCAATTGTTCTCACTGTCAGAAAATTTCTCTTTAATTCCAGATTGCTTCTCTCCTTGATCAGTTTCCATCCATTGCTTCTTGTCCTGCCTTCTAGTGCTTTGGAGTATTTCAGAACTGAGTCATTTAAAAAAGGTCTTGGAAAACCTGTATGTTAATTGCTTAACATAGCTTCAGCCCTTATCTGTGTTCGCTAGGCCATGACAATATCGCTGCCTTTTTGCTGGAGAATGGTTCGTTCTTTTGTTCCTACACACTAATGGATTGTCCCGAGGCGAGCAAACGGCTTCTTTGCAAACATTTCATTGAACCAGTTCCTTCATCCGGGAATGTCCAGGCAAAACCAGTAAGTCATGCTGGGGGGGGAGGGCAAAGAAATGGTTTAACTATTGTAATTGTTATCTACTTGTAGCCATGGTGGCGCAGTGGTTAGGATGTAGTATTGCAGGCTAACTCTGCCAACAGTTTGATTCTGACCGGCTCAAGATTGACTCAGCCTTCCATCCTTCCGAGGTTGGTAAAATGAGGGCCCAGATTGTTGGGGGCACTTTTTAAACTGCTTAGAGAGGGCTGGTAAAGTACTGCGAAGCAGTATAGAAGTCTAAATGCTATTTCTGCTAAAATTGCATTTAATACATATGAATAGTTTGTAAGGTTATAGAAGGGCACTTTGATTCCCACAATGGATGAGTGGCTGCAAAAGTTGATGGAGTTAGCAAAGATGGCTAAATTGACTGATTAAAGGAAAAAAAGCACCATTACTTTTGTTTCTACTTGGAAACAGCTTCTGGACTTTATGCTTGAGGTAGAAAAAAATGAAACTTTTGTTGAGGTTGAGGTTTGATATTAGTATCTTATTCTACTGCAAAGGGAGTTGGAAGTCAATATCTTTTCTTTCCTTTTTTTCCTTTTTTTCCTTTTCTTTACATTTTCCCTTCTCTTCTTCCTCTCTTATTTTCCTTCGACTTTCTTTTGCATTTCTGTTTCATATTATAAATTAGTTTTTAAAACTAGTTTGTAAAGTTCAAAAACACAATAGATGAAAAATGAATAGTTGAATCTTGACTGCACTTTATTACTTTTTTTATTTGTTATTTTCTCCTGGTCTTTTCTGCCTTTCGATTTTATGTTGATCGAGATAAATAAGTGTACAATATATAATGACATGATATTTTATTTGAATATATAATGACATGATATTTTATTTGCTCTGAGGTTATTTTTATACAATCGCTCATTTGTGCTTACTGTAGCATGGATCATTATTTCCTGATTATTATTCTTTAGAAATCTATTGATGGTGGCAGACTAAAATCAAATCAAATGAAATCAGATCAAATCAAATCAATATATACATTCATATTTTGGCAGGAGTTATGCTTAGCCGTACACCGTAGCTTGGAAACTGTAATACCTGATTTCACCCAACATATCAAGCTGATTTTTAAAAATTTACATTATGGTTTAGTAATGTGAATAAATGAAGATGGAGAATAAACTGTGTGTTACTGGGTTAATGTTTGCAAACCCAGGGATATTTTTTAAAAAACAGTGTTATTGCAATATAGTGGTGAGAAAAAAAAAGACAGCTGATATTTTTCTTTCAGTTCTGAAATATATCCTTAAGCATTAATCTCTAATTAGCAGCAGAATTCACACAGCACCCTGGGTGAGGCTAAAAAGAATAGTTTAGCCTGCTATTCATAGCCCGAATAAGTTGTAAGAAATGTTCAGCCATATAGTAATTTTCCTGTTTCTGTTTTTCTTTGAAAGTCACTCTTACCTGCTTTTAATTGGAATTGCTGATGATCCCTATCTAATGTCCCTTCTCTCTTTATCTTCGGGGTCTTCCTGCTTTTTAACCAGAATTATTGATGTCCATTAACTGTTCCTCAACACTTTATCTTCAGGGTCTTTCTGTGAACTGGTCAAAGCTCAGATTGCCTTGGGTGGATTTTGACTGGCTGATAGATTTTTCCCATCAAATAACGGAGCTGGACCTCTCCACTAATCACCTGACCTCCCTTCCATCCATCATCCCTTGGGGACTGATGAACCTTCAGAAGCTGAACCTTTCTGACAACCGATTAAAACAGCTGCTTGATGTACAGTCCTCGGATGGAATCATCTGCACAAAGTAAGTGGACCTTCTTCTTAGAGAAATTTACCTGGGAGAGTGTACTTTGAATCAAGCAAAGGCTGTATGGTGACAGTGGTGACATCACCAGTTGACTCAACTCTATGCAGTCTTAGTTCAAGAACTGTTTTGAATTGCTTTGTTCCCTAAGACAATGCTTGGGATGGCCCGTTCTGCCTTTGCCTGCCCTTTTATGAGGAGAGCAGTGATGCTGTTTTGTGCTGGCCAGTGGCCAGCGGAGCTGGCAGTAGACTCAGACAGTGAGGAGGTTGGGGAGGAACATGGGCCAGTCCTGGAGTCTGGGGAAGGCTCTGACGAGGGCTCTGCATCAGAGGCAGAGATGGGGCCTGGGCCGTCCGACAGTTATCAGCTGCCTTTGGAGTCGAATATCAGTGAGGCAGAAGAACAGCTGGGGCCTGTTCCCGATGTGCGCATGCACAGAACTGCCAGGAGAAGGGAACAATTAAGGAACAGAGGTTGACTCAGGAGTAAAGGCATACAGTTGGATGGTGAATGGCCCCTCCAACAGGGAATAAAGAGGAGCAAAAGGGCAGTGGTGTTTGCAGGAGACAATTAGTTTGTTTAATTAGTGTGAAGATTTGTCCGTGACTCTCAGAGTCTCCTTGCCAAGTATTTTCTATTACAGCCTTGTGCTTGGAAGCTATTGGCCTGGCAACTCTCCAAGCCTGGTAAGGTCTATGGTTGTAATTTACTCTTGAAAGACTCTTTGCCGGGACTTTGTTGGATGTGAATGATAGAAATTCACATTAGCCTAATAAAAAGGGGTTTTGATGGGACAAGGAATCTGTTTCGTGATTTTGTAAAGCCTAGGTCAGAACAGATGCTAAGGAGTCTTGTGTCCAAAGATGACCCAGATCGAGACTATGGTTAACACCTTTAAAACGAACAAGGACTTAAGTTTTAGGTTATTTAACCATTACAGCAATAACCTCTTGTCAGCTCTGCTATCTTCACTATGCCTCAATAAGTTTGCTGGCATCCTGTCATAAACAGAGAGAGTGGAGGAAATTGGGGAAATTGTACAGGTGGAGAGAAGAAGGATGTAAGGGGGGAGGGAATAATACTGACAGGAACCCAGAGGTGCTAAACAGCAGCCTTAGGGATGCCTGGCTGGGGAAAGAATGAGAAACCTCTTCAAGACATGCCTACAATCAAAGCGGTTCCCAAGACATCAAACCGGGATGCTATTGAACATTGACAGTCCAGTTGTCAGCTTTAAAAATCAGCTGTCACATTTCATGGAAGCGGGGATAGAGGAGATGAAAAGTTCACGGTTATTCTGTATGCCGTATTAAGAAATTCCAGTTACAGTTAATTGGTTCTCGCAATTTATGAAGTGTAGAAGTGGGAGGAGAGAAGGTGGATTCTGTGTAACTCATGAAAATAATTTTACTTTGGGAAATTGCTTTGGACATGCCAGATCTGTTTCTAAATAAATCAATTGGAGAGAAAATATCTCCGAGTGATTGATATCATGGGTACTTTCTGGCTGCCTCACACTGGTCAGGGAGAAGGGTCTTGAACAGGGAAAAAGCTTGTAACTTTACTCAGGAATACTCAGACCTAGCCTTGCTTTTGCTACAACCACTAATCCTTAGTAAAAAAATCACTTCAACCAAATGGAGTCGAGGGTTTTTCTCTCCTAGGGTCTTAGCTGAGGCAGGTCTGATAGCTCCATTAGTCTAATGGATTTTTCTTTTCCTTTTCTTTTTTTTAGAGTTTTAAATAAAGTTTATTTAAGTTTCATATATTTAAAACATTTAAAAAGAAACAAACAAACATATAAACAAATATATATACATATATACATTTTGCAGCAGGTATTGAGCATTGGTTACATTTTTCTTTTCTTTTTTTCTTTCACCCAATAACATTGACGTGAACTACCTTGTTACAATACCTTCCTCATTCTTTTAATGTTTTAATTTCACAGAATACTTTATAATTAAAAGCACGTCCTTCATAATTTCATACCTTATTCAGTTATCAAATGTTGCTTTTTCTTTAACCATTCATACCAACAGTTCCAAACTTTGTAGTATTCACTATCTTTGTTGTTTTTTAGTAATTTGGTTAGGCTGTCCATCTCTGCACACTCGTGAATTTTTTTTAATGACCATCTCCTCTGAAGGGACAATAGACAGTTTCCAATTCTGAGCATAATTTATTCAATCCATTCTGGTGAGAGAGAAGTTCCCCAAAGATGGGCTCCAGCAGAAATCCAAAAGCTCAGAAGACTAAACCTCTGCTCCTGGGGACCAACCCAGATTGTATCCTGCAACATTATCCTGGGACACATATATTTGCCTTCATCCCAGCTGGCAGCCAGACTTATTTAGTCTTCTGGTATAGAAGTCCATTTGTTTTGAGAAGGGTCACATTGGCAAGAGTTAAGTCCCATCTACCAGTTAAAAAAAGAAAGAAGATACAAAAGAGTTTTTCCTTCCTTGCTTTAAATCTATCTATCTATCTATCTATCTATCTATCTATCTATCTATCTATCTATCTATCTATCTATTTGTCTATCCATCCATCCATCCATCCATCCATGTATCTATCATCTATCCATCCACCCACCTGTCTGTCTGTCTATCTATCTATCTATCTATCTATCTATCTATCTATCTATCTATCTATCTATCTATCCATCCATCCTTCCACTCATCCATCCATCCATCTATCTATCTATCTATCTATCTATCTATCTATCTATCTATCTATCTATCTATCTATCTATCTATCTATCTTTCTATCTTCCACTTTCTTTCTTTTTTTAATACACAGGTTACTCGAGATTGACATATCTAACAACAGATTCCTCAGCCTTCCTTCTGGTTTATTGCACCTTTCTCGACTCCAACGACTCATTGCTGCCAAAAATTATTTGGAAAGACTATTCAATGAGGAGAACGGTGAGTGATATCTTCAAAATTCAGCGATTTGCTTTGGAATGGAAAGAAATACGTTTCCTTTTCCTTCTGGACTTCCTTATCCTTTAATTTATGGTAGCCCTTTTTATGTTCAGTTTCTACATCTTCTCAAATCACTGAAAGTTATCAATTCTTCCTTCTTTTCATATCCTGAAGCATGTTCAGTGTGCCTGTCTGACCATCCTTCAACACACACACAAACCTCCTTCTTCATTTCTTTTGGAAACCCCCTAAGCCATAAATATACAACTTAATATTCTTAACTACAAATCATCTTTACACATCACCATGATTGGATCTACCTTAAGTACAAAGTCCAGGCAAATTGCCTGATGGCTTAGCATAGTGAATGAATTTAGCCATTGTCATTCTGCAAAACTACAGTATATTGCCCAAAAAGGCAACTAATTCAGAGAAAATGTTCAAGAATAAAGCTAACTCACAAAGATTCTCATATTTCTTGGTGAGATATTTTCCTTTGGATTTTTTCCCCCCAGCAACCAACTGGATTGGATTAAGAAAACTGCAGGAATTAGATGTCTCAGACAACAGATTATCAGAGCTGCCTGTTTCCTTTCTGCACTGCTTGAAATCATTGCAAAACCTCAACGGATCTAGCAATAACTTAAAAGTGTTTCCTCTACCGTGGGCATGTCCTTTGGTAAGTCTGGGTAATCATCATGTTTCTATAGTTACATGAACTCAGTGAAGAGGTGGTATTCAGCAGGTTCTGACCAGTTCTGGAGAACCGGTAGCGGAAATTTTGAGTAGTTTGGAGAACCGGCAAATATCACCACTGACTGGCCCCGCCCCCATCTATTCTCTGCCTCCTGAGTCCCAGCTGATCGGCTGGGTCTTCTTTGGTTGCCCTGCACAGGAGAACAGAGCTGAAAAGCAGGTTAGTGGGGTGGGGAGGGAAAGGGATTTTGCAGTAACTTTCCCCCAGGAGTGGGGAGGGAATGGAGATTTTACAATATCCTTCCCCTGCCATGCCCACCAAGCCATATCACATCCAGCAAGTCACGCCCACAAAACCGGTAGTAAAAAAAATTGAATCCCACCACTGACTTTAGAATGTGTCATCGCATTGGGAGACATCTTTGAGTAAGTTCAGGTGGTCCTTAATGTACAACTGAGCTCAACATTTCTGTGGCTTAGAGAGACTGTTGTTAAAATGAATTGGGCTCCATTTTATGACCTTTCTTTCCACAGTTACATGAATCACTGCAATTGTTAAGTTAGTAACATGGTTGTTAAGTGAATCTGGCTTCCCCATTGACTTTGTCAGAAGGTCGCAAAAGAGAATCCCATAATGTGGGGACATGTCAAACGTCATGAATATGAATCAGTTGCCAAATATCTGAAGTTTGATCATGTGACCAGGGGGATGTTGCAACAGATGTATGAAAAATGATCATAATTCTTTTTTTCCCCCAGTGCTGTTGTAACTTTGAATGGTGACTAAATGAATTGTTGTAAAAGTTTAATCAACTTTTCACTCATAGAAACCACACAAAATTAGTACTTTGGTGAAAATTTCTGTAGTCGGATTGAGATGCATAAATTTTTGTTACTATAACCAAAGTCTTTTTAAGGCACCACACTGTCACCAAAGATCACGTGCAAAGGCTTATACAGTCTATGCCGAAGTGATGCCGCCTGATGATAAGCAATAAGGGTTGGCCAATTTTATATTAATAACCATGTTTGGTTGCCTAAACAGTCCTTTTCAGGGCCACAAACAATAAAAATGTTAACAAAACACTAGCATCGGCCTTAGTAATTGCAACACGTATGCCACTGGGTATGCACCAGTTAATCTGTTTTCATAGTCATTGTAAGCATGCATTGTAAGCATGCAAGAAAATTCACAATCCCCACCCATACAGCACCAAATTGCAAAAAGCTTATGCTTTCCACTTAAAAACCACCAGTATTTACTTAAATATAACAATATTTGCTTAGCAGTTAGCATAAAATATTATAAAATCAGTGGCCTATCCAAAAAATGTCATAAACTGTAAACCGTAAAGTGAGTAGGACTTTTTCACACAGCTGTACGTGAGAAAACTTTTCCATGAAATTTCATCAGAAATGGTTTCTTTCTTTCAAACCTGTCCTCACTTTCTTAACAACTACCGATGTTGCATTTAAGTTTGTGTGTGTGTGCAATGAAGAAACTCGACATTTTTTGATGTAGCTCAAACATGCATCTCCATCATTTGAACTCATTTTGCTCTGACCCAGCCTTAGAGAAGCAAGAAACAGACTCCTGGTCTTGAAACCCCCCTCTTTATTAGCTACTGTGAATTACTGTCATTCACATACCGAAAAGTCCAGGCAATAATCTTTCCAAGGGTTAACTGAAGTACAGACCTGATCAGTTCCTTGAGATAACTGCCAGGCCGGGAGTTTCTAGCCCCAAAGCTGTAAATTAAATTCTGGCAAGCACTCTCTGAGGCACGAACCAAGATGAGCAAATCTTCTGACAGAAATCCGAAGGTTGTCTCCCACAGTCACCACTCCCCTTTTCCTTCTATTTATTTTCTAGCCAGGGAGGGGCCATTCAGCGTCCACGTGTGCTTTTCCTTCCGAGTTGGCCCCTGTTCTTTAATTGTTCTCCTCTCCTGTCAGCTCTGAGCATACACACATCTGGAACAGGCTCCAGCTGTTCTTCCTCCCCACTTATCACAGTCTCTGAAGGCAGCTGCATCTCTGGTGGCTGGGAAATGTCAGGCGGCCTTGGCTCTATCTCTGCTTCCGATGCAGAGCATCCATCAGAGCCTTCTCCAGACTCTAGAATTGGCCCAAGTTCCTCCCCAACCTCCTCATTGTTTGAGGCTGCCGCCAGCTTTGCTGGCAGCTGATGGGCCCACAACACACATATATTTTCACAAGTTTATTAGATTCATACCTGTATAAAATCTGATGGACAAATACAAAGTTTTCTCTTCCTTATATTTTCAGAAATCTTGCAAAGTAGCTAGAAACATGCTGGACTCTCTCCCTGATACTTTGGCAGTGTTTTGGAAAAACCATCTCAAGGAAGTAGATTTCTCCGACAATTCCTTGAAAGATCTTCCACAGGGTCTCTTCCAACTTGAAGTAAGTAGATTGTTCCTACCCTTTGGGGCCACTTCATTTACTCTGTAAAATAAATTGGGATGGCTTGCTTTATGTTATTTGCAGTCTCAGATCAGCAGGGGTATCTGATGAACATCTGAAGCACCTTGACTATAGCGCCTTGAAGGGATATTATTCCAGCCAACCGCTTGATTGATTGATTGAGTACCATCAAATCAATTCCTAGCAATTGCATGGATACTGTTGTGTCCGTGCAGCTGCAAACACAGAATAGCCCACTGTTAGTAGTGCGGGAAAATACAGTTACTTAATTGGCTAACGGCATGGCAGGCAACTGCTATATAAGGGAGCCCGCCAACCATTAGCCCTCATTGTGTTGCAATTAGAATTGAGTACTTACCAGTAAAACGTTGATTGCGGATCCTTGTCTCTGTCTCCTTCTTTCCCACGACACAATAGATGCTTTCTCCATCCTCTAGCTAGGTCCTTCAGATGGTACATCCATCACTGCTTGGATCAAGTCTGTCTACCTTGCTGCTAGTCATCCCCTTCTTCTGTTTCCTTCTGCATTGTTATAGACTTCTCAAGGGGTTTTGGCAGTGGTTTGCTCTGCAAGCTTGTTTCAATTTTAGTTTCTGAATGTTTTGTTACCAGGCAAGATTTTCTTGTCCTATTCTCCTTAGCTATTTAAATGTTTTGTGTGCCAGTTTGATCACTGGGTCGTGTGCCTGGTTGTTCGTTTGGAGCTATATTTAGATTCTGAGCCCCTGACTGTTTCTCTTATTGATTGGCCATTCGAATGGTCAGGTTTCTTATGTATTCATATGCTGGATCTACATCAAGAGGCTTGTTAATTGCTCCTTTGATAGAATACCAGGCTTCGATAAATTCAGATGTGTGGTGCGATGCTGGCATGGCCAATCATTGTAGTTCCTTCCCAGTCACACAGGTGTTATTATAAATGTGATTTGAGATCAGAGATTTTGGGTCGTGCTGTTGAACAGCTACTTGTTTTCAATTTTCAACTTCTCAAGGGAGCTGGGTTTCCAAAATAGAAATTAATTGTGGTCGTTTGCATCTTGAGAGAACTCTGGATTAGACCCTCACAATCTAGTTTGCTTGAATCTCCATGTAGTGGTGAAAGATACTGTGAGGTAGGAGAGATGGTGGACCTGCCCAGAAGCAAAACTTATTTCCATGCCATACTGGATGATTTGGGGGTCAGTCAGTTTCTTTTGGCTTGGCCTTTCTATAACATGATTATTATGAAATAAAATGGGGAGATAAGATCTATGTGGAGGGGAGGATGGACTTTGAATAATGGTAGCAGCTGCTTGGTGTACCTGGCTCTTCTTAAGACAATGTAACTTCTTGAGCTGCTCTGCCATTAATTACATGTAGAATTGACAATTAACTTGTAAAAAAAATAATCTTATCTGTAAAAGGAAGAGGCCAAATCAACCCTAATCATGCTGCTTCTTGAACTTTGAGATCAGCAAGTGTAATTAATTTCACGACTGTGAGGATACATCCTCAGAGTCATTGGATATGAGATGGGCAGCAAATAAATTTTATAAATAACTAGCTAATAACCTGGAATTGCCCAGGTATTTATTTATCCCAATCCTGTAGTAGACAGGAAAATCCTTAGTTGGGACTCACACTGTTGTACTGTCTCTGGCGCACAGTCGCAAGTTTTCTATTCTTCTCCTTGGGAGTTTCTTGTCTATGCTGGTGCTTCATTTTGTAGCCTTTGATTGCACTTGGCCAATCACCTGATGTTTCCTTGGAGGGCTGAGAGGGAGCCCCCTTGTGGAGGACTGTGAAGCTGTTACCAAGGCAAATCCACTGTGCTGTACAGTAGAAAGCCGTTTTAAGGCACACACACCCCGAGGCGTGTTAGGGGTGTCTTACCCACACAGTATTTGTTTCCACAGGGTAAGTCATCTGTGCACCAAGGTTGGTTGAAATTGCTCGAGGAGTTCCAGAGTTATTCTTGAACACACACACACACACACACACACACACACACACACACATCCATATATACACCATTTCACATTACATATAAACACATATTCATTATGCAAAATACATAGGAATGTAAAGAGTCTGCAACTTATTGCTTGGATTAACTGGTCTTGGATCCTTAAGTCTTCATATGGGTTTTGAAGGTGTGTGTGTGTGTGCACGCGCGCGCACGCGTACACACACACACGCACACACTGTAGTTGTGACTTCAGCTTATGCAAAGGGGCTTTCCTTCATGGAAAGTGAAATGCATGTAATCTGAATCATTTGAACACTAGGCGGTGCTCCTCTGTTACTTATTTGTTCTCTGGGCCATTCCTCAGTAGGGTTGTTTTAGTGCGGTGTGAAGACAGCTGTAATTTAAAAAATAATATACATGTTTGTAGCACTGCATAATTGTTTGATAGCAAGTCAGATCTTTGGTCTGGATCACCTATGCATCTTCTCTCAGCATGACTTCCTGAAGATGCGTCACCTACAACATTAGCCAACTGGTTTGAAAACTCTGGAAATGTTCATCCAATGCTTCTGGAGAAGGTGACAGCTGTCCAGGATTTCACACAGGTGGAATTTCTAGCCTTAACTGGAAATGGAAAATAAAATGTAGGCAACATGTTATGATGCTTCCATAGAGGAGCATTAATTCCATTCATCTCCTCTTACTCTTTGCTGGAGCTTAAAAAGATAAAGGTTCCCCTCGCACACACATGCTAGTCATTTCTGGCTCTAGGGGATGGTGCTCAACTCCATTACAAAGCCGAAGACATCTCCATGGTCATGTGGCCGGCATGACTAAATGCTGAAGGCGCATGGAGCACTGTTACCTTCCCACCAGTGGTCCCTATTTTTCTACTTGCATTTTTACATGCTTTTGAACTGCTAGGTTGGCAGAAACCGGGACAAATAATGGGAGCTCACTCCATTACGCGGTGCTAGGGATTTGAACTGCCAAACTTCCGATCTGTCTGATCGATGTTCAGCGTCTCAGCCACTGAGCCACCGCGTCCCTTAGACTTCTATAGATAACCCTAACGTCTGCTTTACTTTGGAGCTCCTTGAGCTCTGACTGGATGATGGGAAAGAGCTGAAGAAGCTTCTTGGCTGAGAAGCGAAACGTCTTCAAAGAAAAACCAGAAAGTCCAGCTGCCTCTTGAAAAAAAAGCACATTTGGGATAGTCTAGTGTCACTTTCACTTTAGATGATCCTGTATTCCTTAGATGGTCCTGTTTCCTTTATGGTCGCTATGTATATTAGATGGATAAGCAGGGGGAAAAGCAGGAAAGAAAAATAAATAGGGAGAAAAGGCTTTCTGGTTCTAACTTTTGTATTTCAATGAGCAACATTTTCAGGCAGCAAGTATCTCCGTATACGTGAATAAAGAGACTGTTCGATATTTCATTACTGTCCTGGTTTGGGGCAAGGTTGTTTTTGTTTTGCTTTTTTTAAAAAAATCAAAACACCCCTTGATAACAACAGCAACCACAAAAAGTTTTCTACCTGAGATGAATAGTACGTGAATAGTTTTTGGGGAGGAAAATAAGGGAAAAATTGTGCCTCTGCCTACCAGCATCCATTGGTATTCATCTGGCTAGTGTTCTGTCAGTGTGTGAGAGAATTGAGGGCAATTTGGAAACTGAAACAGTATTTGCTTCTGAGCAAGAAGGAGACAGCAAGGAGCCTGGACATGGCTTAGCTCAACTGTTCAGTACTAAAGCTGCTTGGTGCTCTGAAACTGAGACTGAAACTGAAAATCCTCTCATCTGCTTGTGTTGTGCATTTGGAACAGATTTCTTTTCAGGTGGAGAGTGGAAGTAGAACTCTTTAGCATCAAAGCGCGTTAATAATAATACACAAAATACTAATGCTCTGATAGTCATTTTGAAAAATTCTTCCGTAGTGAGCACCTAGAAGCCAAAAGAAATATACATGCGAAATTTCAAGCTTGTAGGCTTTACAGTTCTGGAGATTTTGTGATGATGCATGAGTGGTATTTTGCTTTTATATACTGTATATAGATAATAACAAATACGAGGAGTGCGTACACCTATGGAAGATAGCTTGATGTTTTTATGTTTTGTTTGTTTATGTTTGTTTTTAAAAACCAATAAATTTTTTAAAAAAGCCCTAAAATTATATTTTTTCAGTTTTTTTTCCAATTATCCCACCTCTTTTTTCCCCCTCTTGCATCTCCTCTTTTCAAGATTTATCAGATTTCAGTGGTCTATATGTCAAATTCTGCAAGATCGTGATGCCACGTCTACCATCTTGCAGATTTTGAACAGTTTCCTTTTCTGGGACGTCTATGCAAAAACTATCATTATCGATTTTCCCTTTCAGGCTCTGGTCTCCCTGAAACTTTCTGGAAATCAGATAGTCACTTTACCTTCTCCAGAGAAGTGGGCTTGCCGATTGTTGAAATCTCTGGATCTCTCTAAGAATCAGCTTGGAAAGTGAGTTTTGGGGGTTTCTCTTAAGTCACGTTACGGAAGAAAACTTCCTGTTTGATTGGTTTTTGTTTACATTTGCCTACAGAACTGAGGAAGGGACCAAAACTAAATGGATTCCCTTATTCACTACAAGGAACAGAACTTGCATTGGCAGCGAGATAGGTAAGTGTGTTAGAGAGACAGACAGACAGATGCGCAGGATGAAATGAAGAATGGAGTGGTAGGATATTCAAGTACATTTAAGATTCTTGATGGCTGCTTCTTTGATTGTATTTTCTAGCTGAGACTGAGTATTTGTCTTTAAATAGATCTGTGGAATCCTTGGTGCTCTCTGAGCTTGGCTGTTTTCTTGTAGATGTTTCATTACCCAGCTAGGTAATATCATCAGTGCTAGAAAGGAATGAGGTGTGTAGAGCTATGTGTGGGGGGAGGAGGAGCTGTGGGTTCTTGGTGTTCTCTGAGCTTGGTTGTTTTCTTGCAGATGTTTCATTACCCAGCTAGGTAATATCATCAGTGCTAGAAGGGAGTGGGATTTGTTCTGTTTATGCTTATTCTGTCAGTGTTGGTGGGAATCTTCTTAATTGTTCCTTGAATAGGCTGTTGTTTACTCTTTGTTTGTCTGAGCTGGCACTTCCTCGATTGGAGTATTGAGCCTAGTGCTAATCTCTGTTTATCTGAATCTTAACTGCTGGCCCTGAAGTGTTTTGGTCTTTTTTGTTTCCTTTTTTGCTCTTTTGTCTCTTTTGAATGGTATGTAAATGGTATATAAAGTGACCCATAAAACCAATAAACTTATATACCACTTCATAGGGCTTTACAGCCCTCTTAAGTGGTTTACAGAGTCAGCATATTGCCCCCAACAATCTGGCTCCTCATTTTACCAACCTGAGAAGGATACAGCCCTGAGCCGGTGAGAATCAAACTGCTGACAGTCGGCAGAATTAGCCCGCAATACTGCCTTCTAACCACTGGGCCGCCTTGATTCAAAACCAATTGACACTGCACATGAACAAGATTTTTTTGACCCCCCCCCCCCCCTTATATTAATTTGCAGTTTTCTGAGCTCATTTATCCATTTCCCCAAATTGGTAGCCCCTGACAATATTCACGGTGTCTTTCTTCCGCTTTCTCCTGGTTTATTTTCTTAAAATGCTGTTTTCCTCCAAAGGGTTGGAGGATTGGAAATGATTTCCTTATGTTTATAATATGTATTGAAATCCCCTTTTGATCACCATCCCTTTTTCATTATGAGTTGTCCTCTGCCACCTTGTGGTCATAAGAAACTCTCTGCTGTAGGAAAAACAGGCCAAATGAATATTTTAAATATTAATAAATAACAGATTGTTCTCCTGTCCCTTTCTTGAGACCTGTGATCGACAGCTGGCGAATAGGGGGCTTTATCCTATCAAATCTGATTGCTAGTTTGCAGAACGTGTGTGTCCTGGATATCCTCTTACCTAACTTGTATTTGTCTTACTTTTTCTTTCCAGAATATACCCTACAGTTTCCTGAATTCCTGGCCGATACGTTGGAGGTCCTCTATCTGAATGACAACCAACTAGACTCCGTCCCGCAGTCTGTTTGTCTCCTCAGGGGGCTGTCAGAACTCTACTTAGGAAAGTGAGTTGAGTTCTTCCCAACAGTTGTAGAGAATATTTAATTCATTAATTTGGAAGAATATTTAATTCACTGGCTGCTGAAACTCCAGAGGTTTCCCTTGATGAACGTGGTAGTTTCAGTGCAAAGATTGGGTGCTCTTGATTTTCTCCAGATATTTTTGAAGGTGTAACGTAATTCCAAGAGAGCCTTGCCAAGATGTAGATGAAATAAAGGAATTTTAGCTGAACACAGCTGGAAGATCCAAGACCCCAAGAATGGGGAAATACAGGATGAGATTCCCTATGTCCACCTCTCAATGTTATCTTGAAGTTGGTTGGGGTAGGAGATGGTTGAAGGAAAAATAATATATGCTCATTGTTTTCCTGGGAAGAAGAGTAAAATTAAAAAGAAATAAATGAACTCCTATGTTGAGTAAAAGACTGTGATTTTTAAAGTTTCTCAAGATTATCATTTCACTGAGAACTTGTGAAATGATTTTTAACAACACTGCTGAGAAACACACAAAACAGAATTTAACAGGAGGGGTTGTGTTTCATCTTAGCTAACCAGAAAAGTGGAGAAACTTTGTTCAAGAGACTTAGTTAAGAACAACAAAGTTGATTAATTGACTGGAGGCTAAAACACATGAGGAACAGTTGCAAAATTGGATATCTCTAGTGAATAGAAGGACTAGGGGAGACATGATTGCAGTGTTGCAATATCTAAGGGGCTGCCCCAAAGAAGAGGGGGTCAATCTAACCTCCAAAAAGCACCTGAGGGCAGAACAAGAAGCAATGGATGGATGCTTATCAAAAAGAGAACCAACCAAGAACTAAGGAGAAATTTCCTGACAGAAATTTCCTGACAATTAATCGGTGGAATGACTTGCCTCCAGAAGTCATGGGTGCTCCAACCTTGGAGAGTTTTAAGAAGAGATTGGACAACATTTGTCTGAAATGGTGTAAGGCTTCCTTCTTGAGGAGGGGATTAGACTAGAAGACCTTCAAGGTCCCTTCCAACTTTGTTATTTTCTTAAGTTTCCTTTTCCATTGAAATTCCACGATGGTTTCGCCTAAGCTAGCGGTTTCATGTTATACCTCCACATATTCATTTGAAGGCTAGACTCGTTGCCAACTTGCCTACTTCAATGTCGCCCTTGGCAAGGCTGAGGATCAGTTGATGAGTATGTGTCCTTTTCTACATAGTAACCCAGGCATCCAAGAGCTTCCTACTGAACTTGGACAACTGGTTAATCTTTGGCAGCTGGATATCGAGGATCTAAACATTGGCAATCTTCCAACGGAGATCAGAAAAGAGGGTGAGGTTCTTCCCTTTCTCTAACTGATTAATCTCAGCTGTTCAAACAGGAAGAGAATCCAGACCAAGCCTGATTTTATTCATTATTGAATGATGGGCAATATGGAAGGGCCTCTGTCCAGGTTGTTGTTTTGAAATAGAATTGCAGACCTCAGATTTTCCATGCGATTCAAATTCAGCTCGATCAGTTCCTTCGCAGGCAACCTTCTCCTTCAAACAGAAGCTCACAGTACAGCCATTTAATGGATTCCACTCCTCCCACCCGTACATTTCTGAGTAAGTGCTGTAGAAATGACAGGCAGCATTTATTATTTTGCAGAAAGTCATAGTTTTTGACATCCCACAACCAAACGATGTCAGTTTTGTCCCTTCCTGGCCTAAGATTATATTTTTCAGAATGGTTATTTCTGTTGTAACTTAACTTATTGGCAAGTTCTGCAGCAATTAAGACAAACCATAACTGGAAATTAAGGATCCTTGGCTTACATAAAATTGGGCTTCTGGTATTTACTCATTTTGAATAGGCCTATTATTGCTTGATGATGTTCCATCAGTTTGTTTATTTTTGCAATATATGACTTCCGTATTCAGCCCAAACTTTAAATCAGGAGAATCCAAGGGGTTTTTTTTTTGTAAAAAAAAACTATTGATTAATTTTGCAGTTTTTTTCTTTAGTCATCCTAGCTTCCCACACTTCTAAGGAATGGACGGGAGAAGAAAGAGAGAGGGGGGAGGAAGGGAGAGAGAGAGAGAGAGAGACAGAGAGAAAGAAGAAAGAAAGATTCCTCAGATCTCTCTCATTCAGGGCCCAGGTTGCTTGCTTATAGAGGGCTTTAAAAATTAGTCAGCGATGACTGGAGGTTGCTCATCCTGCACAAAATTTTTTTTTTTATTAGCTATCATCTACCACTTTTGCCAACCCAGCAGTTCGTAGGGAAATGTGAGTAGATAAGATAAGGTAGGAAGGTAATGGTGTTTGATGCACCTTGGCATATAGACATGACTACAGAAGTGTCTTCAGACAACGCTGGCTAACTTGGCTAAGAAATGGAGATGAGCACCACCCTTAGAGTTGGACACAACTGGACAGGGGAAGCCCGTCACCAATCATCTACCAATGATTTCTCCATCCCTTCTACCTGCAGGACCCAAGACCATTTTAGCTTACTTACGTGCCCAGCTACGCAAAGCAGAGAGATGTAATGTGATGAAAATGGTGGTGGTAGGTCCTCCTCGACAGGGAAAATCCACCCTGGTTGAGATCCTGCAGACAGGGAAATCTTCTTTTTCAATGCCTGACAATGCCACTGTCCGGACCACAAGATGGGAGCTCCAGAGACCTGCTGGATTCAAATCCAAGGTAAATAAAAAAGAGAAATGTCTATGGAGATTCTCAGTCCTCCAGGTCATGGTTGTCCCAGAGGTGCTTGTTCAAAATTAAAAAATTCAAAAAAAAAGTGGCTTAGGACCATTTCCCACTCTTGCAGTATGCCTCATGCTCATGGGATCAAAATTCAGATGCTTGGCAACTGACTCACCTTTATGATGGTTGCAGGATCCCAGGGTCATGGGATCCCCTTTTGTGACTTTTGGATAAGCAAAGTCAACAGGGAAGCCAGATTCACTTAACAACCGTGTTATTAATTTAACAACTGCAGCGTTTCACTTAACAGCTGTGGCAAGAAAGGTAGCAAAATGGGGCCAAACTCACTTAACAACAAAAATTTTGAGCTCAATTGTGGATGTGGATGTGTATATGTACATGTGTGTATGTATGTGTATGTGTATATGTATGTATGTATATATGTACATGTATGTATGTGTATATGTACATGTGTGTATGTATGTTGAGGATTACCTGCATCTCATTTGCATACTTAAAAAAACCCTCTCATGAATCTGTAACAAAAGTATAGTGTGATGACCTGGGGTGTGGCACAAAGGCAACACAGTCAGATAATCAATAAAAGTCCCTTTATGAGCTCCACCTTTGCCCCCAATGTCCAGGTTACCTTCTGGCTGGAGAAAAACTCATCCAGGAACAGCCAAAGAGAATGTTCAACAAAAACTGTAGCTTTAAGTCCAATCAAGCCAAACTGAGATACTTAGTTTGGCAGGGCAGGAGCAAGAATTCTAGACTTGGAGGCATGGCAATAACTCACATGGTTGGGAAGATGCCAGGAACACAGATAAGCAATGGCAACACAGAATAAAGTCATGTTTGCTCCCAGCAGCTGCCGCAGTCAGCATTCAGTTCTTATAAACTTTCATTCCCAGCTGTGGCTAATGAAGGGAATCAGGGCCCTTTCCTCCCCCATAAGCCATGCAACCCACGTTGCTCTCTTCTCTGTTCCTCCTTGCGTGCCCTAGGATGAAGAGGGGGTGGGCCTAGATCTTCCTCTGAACTCCCTCTCCCATGTTCTGTCTCTCCCCTGCTCTGCCCAGCTGGACTTTGCCCTTCCCCAGCCTCCTCCACAGCCAACAAAACCACATTCCCCCTCCCTGCCAGCTGTTCATCCTCCTCGGGTTCAGACTGACAGGGGTATGACATATAGAGAACATGGAATACATGGAAAAGGGGAAATATTTCTGAATGTGAAAGATAAGTCGCCTTCAGCAATTTCAGATAGCACCTGACCATAACCAAAACAACATCCTCGCCCCACCCACACACACACATTTTTATTTTAATTCATCCGGAAAAGTTCCCAAATTGGGCCTTTGGAGGCCACCGCTCATTAAAAGGTGAACCTCTCATAGAATTCCAGAATTAATTATCTAATTTGCACCCTGTTCAGAATCTGACTTTAAAAAAGGTCAAATGGGTGGGAGACGTTGAAGGTGAATGACAACGGAATGGAGTCTGGTGTATTTCAAAATAGTGTTGTTGGTATCTACCCTTTGCTTTCCGTATGGAGCCTTTCACACCTGGAGTTTTCAGTGGGATTCAAATTAGAACTTTAATTCTGAGTCATTGAATGCTTTGCAAAATTTAGCAGCTGATTAACTGGTTGGATGGATGTAGCATAAGACCGCAATGGCTCTTCTCTGTCGGAGCTGGCTTCCATACTAAATCTTAACTCTGAGAATGTGTGGCTGCCTTAAAAGCAAGCAAATCAATTTCCTGTGTGGGAAGGGGTCGTTCTCCCATAACAAGTGCTCTTTCTTCAGTTTAAACATTAATACCCATTGACGCCTAGGTGCCATACATTACGGAGGTGTTCGAGGGTGCAAACTCATTATGCATTGACCATTCTCCCTTTCTCTCTCGTTTTAAATTGACTTCTGTTGAGGGGTTATTTGGTTCCTTCAATGTAGCTCTTTGTCCAATTAGGTTGACGCCATTGAGTTGAACGTCTGGGATATTGGAGGCCCCGCCAGCATGTCAACAGTCAACCAGTGCTTCTTCACAGATAAGGCATTGTACATTGTCATCTGGAACTTGGCACTGGGAGAAGAAGCTGTAGCGAATCTTCAATTCTGGTTACTCAGTATTGAGGTAGGAGCAAAGCCATAGGCTGACTTGCAGAATGTCTATTCCCCAGTACAGTACAGTACAGGGTGGCTTAGACAAATTTGACAAACTTTATTGTTCATTTCTAATAACTTCACCTTAAAATCCGTCAAGGATGACATCTTTACATCAGCTATGACCCAACCATCACTCTTCACCCCTGTATGGCTATGTGATTGTCTGTTCCTAATGTTGACTCCAGAAGGGACAAAGTGGCTCAGTGGCTAAGACATTGAGCTTGTTAATCAAAATGTTGGCAGTTCACAGTTTGAATCCCTAGCGCCATGTAACGGAGTGAGCTCCCATTACTTGTCCCAGCTTCTGCCAATCTAGCAGTTCAAAAAGCATGTAAAAATGAAAGTAGAAAAATAGGGACCATTTTGGCGGGAAGGGAACAATGTTCTGTGCATCTTTGGTGTTTAGTCATGCCGGCCACATGACCACGGAGATGTCTTTGGACAGCACTGATTCTTTGGCTTTGTAATGGAGATGAGCATCGCCCCCTAGAGCCGGGAATGACTAGCATGTATGTGCAAGGGGAACCTTTACCTTTACCTTTAATGTTGACTCCAGAAGCACATTTAGGAACATCTAGTTTAAGCTTCCTTCTCTATTACCCTCCTGATATATTAAATTTCAGTCCCCATAATTCTTCAGAGTCCAGGTCCAAGCTGTTTTGTTGTTTGAGGAATCAAATCATTTTCTTTCATGATATAGGCAGAAAAACTGATAGGATGTGCTGTGGAACCTTTTTAAAAAAAATCTTCTTAATGCGATACCAATATCTACTTCACCATAAAGCATAATGTCATGTCATATACATGATGTCTGAATGCCGGCCTTGTGGCTTATTTGAAAAACTGGAATTACTCTGCCATTGGGTGATAAGCAAGTGGTGGCAATTATAGATAGGTGTATTTCCTAGTTTATCTTTGGTTTGCTTGTCTGCCCTACCTAAAACTTCCAGAGGGATGCCAGGCAAGACCAACTTTAAAAAGAAGCATAGAACATCATCACAGTTGGAGGTCTTCTAGTCCAACCCCCTCCTCAAGCAGGAGACCCTATAATATTTGAGACAAATGGCTGTCCAGTCTCTTCTTAAAAGCCTCCAGTGATGGAGCATCCACAACATCTGGTGGCAAGCTGTTCCGCTGATTAATTGTCTTCACTGTTAGGAGATTTCTCCTTAATTCCAGGTTGCTTCTCTCCTTGATCCGTTTCCATCTATTGTTTCTTGTCCTGCCTTCAGGTGCTTTGGAGAATAATTTGACTCCCTCTTCTTTGTGGCAACCCCTCAAATATTGGAACACAGCTCTCATGTCACCCCTGGCCCTACTTTTCACTAGACTAGACATACCCAATTCCCACCCCTATTCTTCATATGAAGCAGTCACTGGCCAAGTAGGAAATGTTCACTTTCATTTACCTGCAAGACCAAATCTACTCTGTTTTGACTCTCTCAACCAACTGTGGCTTAAATGAACCATAGCTTAATGTCCCTCTCTCTTTCCAGGCCAAGGCTCCAAATTCAGTTGTGCTGGTGGTAGGGACTCATCTGGACCTCATTGAAACAAAATTCCGTGTTGAGAGGATTGCCACCCTAAGAGCCTATGTCCTGGCCCTCTGTCGATCTCCCTCAGGTTCAAGAGCCACTGGTTTTCCAGACATCACATTTAAGCATTTGCAGTAAGTTGGACATGGGTGCAACAATTCACACTGGCAAGGCCTTATTTCCAACGGCTTGCTTTTCAATTATTCAAGTATGACTAAGGGAGGGTGGGGCCATGGGTCTAGCTGTGAGCAATTTGGGGAGTTTTGCTGCAAGTAGTCCTCAACTTATGACTACAATGGAGCCCCAAATTTCTGTCGCTAAGCAAGACATTTGTTAAGTGAGTTTTACCCCATTTTACAACCTTTCTTGCCACAGTTGTTAAGTGAATCCCTGCAGTTCTTAAGTTAGTCACATGGTTGTTAAGTGAATCTGGATTCCCCCTTGAGATTGCTTGTCAGAAGGTCGCCAAAGGGGATCACTTGATCCCGGGATCCTGCAACCATCATAAAGGGGAGTCAGTTGCCATGCACCTGAATTTTGATCGTGTGAGCATGGGGAGTGGTCCTAAGTCACTTTTTGAATGCCCTTGTAATTTTGAACAGTCACTGAATGAACTGTTGTATGAGGACTACCTGCACTGCTATGAAACATCTTGCCTGAAAGATTGTGAATTAGACTGTCCAGAAGCACCAAGGAAGTGCCCACGACCTCCTCCTGTTATTTGTACTGGGGCATATGGGAGAGGGCATCAGCCAGAAAGTTCCTCCCCCCGGGACGTGTTTTAGCACAAAGTCGAATCGGTTGAGCCCAGCTGACTTGTTTGGGTGATAGTTTTCACGGGGTCCTAAGGGCCTCCAGATTTTTATGATCAGTCCAGACTTCGAACGGTCTCTGTCCCCCTTCCAGCAGGTGGTGCCAGGTTTGTAGTGCCCATCTCACCACGAAAGCCTCTTTTTCCCATGCAGCTCATTGCCTCTCAGTGTCCGTGAGCTTGCGGGAGGTGTAGGTGCAGGGCTATAGGCATCCTTGGTTATTTCTTTGGAGTAACACTGCTCCCACTGCCACATCACTGGGGTCCACTTGGATGATGAAGGATGTTGTTTGGGGTCAGGATGCTTCATGCTGGTTCTTTTTGCAAACAGTTCTTTCAGTGTTTCAAATGTCTTTTGGCAGGTTAGGTCCCACTGTCGGGGTTGTCCCGGGCAGGGTTTCGTTCCTGGCCCCCTTGTCTTTAAGGAGGTCTGTCATGGGTTTGGCAATCCTCACAAAGGAGGGGATGAATTGCCGGTAGAAGTTTCCGAACCCCAAGAAGCTTTGTAGCTGTCTACAGGTGTGAGGGGGCTGCCAGCCTAGGATGGCAATTGCCAGAATCCTGATAGAAGACCAAGGGGAGTGTGATAAAGTCAAAGCAGTTCTTAAACATTAAGCCACGTTCTTAAACATTAAGCGAGGTTTTTAAATGTCTGAGAATAGGCCTTAAGCTTTGTGGTTGCCTCACCATCTTCTACTCCAGAGAGCTGGTTACATTCTTTTCTATGAAGCAAGACCTAGTTCTAATGTTCTAATTTTACAGCTCAATCCAACATGCGCCACAAATAGAGCACAAGATAGCATTACCATGCCATGCTTAAGCTTTCAGGCTGACACAGTTGCTGCCCACAAAAATGTGTTGGTAATGAACCTTCTACGGCTTGGTTAGCCAAGCTTAGCATGACTTTTGAATAGGAGATTTTAGGGGTTTTTTTCAGTAGAGAAAGAATTAGAGGTCAACAATAGCTTATTGTCTGCCTTCTTCGTGACACATGCCTTCTGAGTTCCTGGTCTGCTTCTTAATTGCACTTCCTTGAGCCCAAGACAGTGGAACATGGTTAGAAAGACAGCCTTTCGGCTCAGAGTGGACAATTGGTTTGGACTATAAATGAGGCAAACCAATTTTCCTAATAATAAGAGACAGGACTAGGTTCTTAGCAAAATATTTTCCCTTACGTTTTCAGCAAGCAATACCATTTGTTAAGGTGCAAATGTAACAAGGAATGCTGAGTTGATCTTGTCTTATCTCAAAAAGCTAAGCACAGTCAAGCTTGATTTATCTATGGGTGAAATACCAGTAGGAAATCTAGGGCTAGATTATGAAATCAGAAGTGCCACTAAGAGTTGTGGTGGGGCAATGGTTAGAATGTAGTATTGCAGGTTAACTCTGCCCCACTGCCAGCAGTTTGATCCTGACAAACTCAAAGTTGACTTAGCCTTTCATCCTGACAAACTCAAAGTTGACTTAGCCTTTCATCCTAGAAGGATGAGGATCTAGATTCTTGGGGGTGATAGGCTGACTCTGTCAACCACCCAGAGAATGCTGCAAAACACTATGGAGCAATATATAAGTCTTATTGCTATCCCAGATAACAATAGGGGTTACATGCAATTTTTCTCTTGCCATTTCTTTTTGCAGTGAACTCTCATGCAAAACATTGGAAGGCCTGGATGGGTTGCGACAGCTGATCTTCCACGTCAGCACAAACATGAAGGATGTTGGAAATTCCATTGGCTCACAGAGGCTTGTTGGGAGACTGGTGTGTAATTTTCTACAGGGGACAGCGGTGTCACTAAACATGGCATATATATGTTAAGACTCCTTAGCTGCAGTTGTGTGCCCAGAAAATGCAGAAATTGGACAAACTAGTCTGCACAATGTTCCTTTACTTTATAACTGGGTGTGACTTCTGAGTATGGCTGTAATTCCAACTCTCTTGATCTCACCTTATTAGGGATAAATCTGACTGAATTACAGAGTCAGGGAATAGCTTTCCTAGCCTTGTCTCCTTAACCTTCTATGTCAAGTAGGGAGAAGGTTTGGCTCTCCAGAGTTTAGGAAAACCACATCTTCTAGGGCCTGTAGACAGTTGATAGGGAAAGCTGGGAACTGTAATTCAGTAACATCTGGGGTAAGAGGAAAGAACCAAAATTGCTCTTCTGCAGTTCTACATGCTATTTCTCCAGCACCCTTCCTCCAATTTGGGTGGACCAGGGCTCTATGAGGATCTTGTAATAACAGTTGCTTATTTAGAGAATAATTTAGACACGATGATCGATTTGGGACATGCATCTGAATTGTTTGAAAGCAGTGCATGAGATTGATGGCCAGCATCTGGTTTGCAAAGATGTATTGCCTCCAGATATGTTGGTTTGCCTTAGGTCTCCTAACAAGTAGTAGAACCATCCTCCATAAGTAGAACCCTCCTCCTCCTTGGTTTGTCTAATCCAACTAAAGGCTATCCAGATATATTGGGATGTCTTCTTCTTGTTGTTGTGCCATATCCGTCATAGGATGTTGGCGATCATGTTGCCAATCCTATTTTTATCAATAGCCTCACGAAAAAATGCTGCTGATTTTTGTCCAAACCAGTCCCTTAAATTTTGAAGCCACGATGTTCTTCTGCATGGGCCTCATTTGCCTTCAATCTTTCCCTGGAGGATTAAGTGAAGGATGCCGGATTTTTCCAGGTGTCACATCGCATGTCCAAAAGATTCCAACTTTTGCTTTTTTTATGGCTTTTTTATGGTTTTGGCTTTCCTAAGCAGGTTATCAACTCCTCCTTTCTGATTTTGTCAACCCAGCTTATATGTAACAGCCACCTGTAAATCCACATTTCAAATGCTTCTAGTCTCCTCAAATGGTTTTCTGTCAGAGACCAGCATCTAGAATTCATGGAGCTGCTTGGAAAGAACCAGTTTGCATAGACTAGTCAATGACCATCACCTACATCTTTGAACAGTTAATTAACATACTTTATTAGCCTGTGAAATGCAGTGGCTCGGTGGCTAAGATGCTGAGCTTGTTGGTGGGAAAGGTCGGCAGTTCAGCAGTTCAAGTCCCTAGCACTGCATAACAGAGGGAGCTCCCGTTACTTGTCACAGCTTCTGCCAACCTAGCAGTTCGAAAGCATGTAAAACAAATGCAAGTAGAAAAATAGGGACCCCTTTGGTGGGAAGGTAACAGCATTCCATGCAGCTTCGGCATTTAGTCATGCCGGCCACATGACCACGGAGACGTCTTTGGACAGCACTGATTCTTTGGCTTTGTAATGGAGATGAGCATCGCCCCCTAGAGCTGGGAATGACTAGCACGTATGTGCAAGGGAAACCTTTACCTTTAATGTTGACTCCAGAAGCACATTTAGGAACATCTTAGTTTAAGCTTCCTTCTCTATTACCCTCCAGATATATTAAATTTCAGTTCCCATAATTCTTCAGAGTCAAGGTCCAAGCTGTTTTGTTGTTGAGGAATCAAATCATTTTCTTTCATGATATAGGCAGAAAAACTGATAGGATGTCCTGTGGAACCTTTTTTTAAAAAAAATTCTCTTCATGTGATATTGGTATCTAGCACGTAAGTGCGAGGGGAACCCTTACCTTCTTAGCCTATACTTGACAAAGTATAGCTTACTTCTGCATCCAGAAGTAAGGGTTTTTTTATTGGTTGACCCTGAATTCTAGTTAACATATGGAAAGAAAAAAGACAGCCTTTTCATGACAACAACAGAGTCAATTTCATTCCTAGTCTCAGCAACCAGAATGTGCTATATAAAACTGGGCAGATACATTGCTTTGATGAAGAGATTGATTTGCACTATCGTGTAACAGGTCCCGAGGAGCTATTTGAGCCTTCAAGTATCCGTCACAATTGAGCAACAGAGGAGAAGCCAAAACGATAGTGTGCAATATCTCACTGACAAGGAAATACAAGGAATCATTGAGAAAACTCCAGCCAATGACATCAAGGATTATGAAGACATGCAATCCGGTAGATATGCATGGAATAATTTTTCCAAAGCTACGTATACAGTACGGTTGGAAGCGTACGAGCAGATTCTGCTCACAAACTAAGCCCGTATCTGCAACGTTGAGGCAGCAAGCTTTTTCTGGTGTTCATGAAACCCAAAAGACTGAGCTGTGGTTGCATTCTAGCTGCATGTTTCCCTGAGTGAAAGCAGCAAATTGTGTCAATTAGCTATTGTGTCAATTATAAGGAACTCCTGGTATGATTTGCACGGGGGTGATTCGAGTATTTCCAGAAGGAATGGATATTATAAAAGACAGAGGCGGGGTGGGATGATACCGGTTCTGCCTGGTTCTAAAGAACCGGTAGCTCTGAAGAGCAGCAGACACCCAACCAGTTCTGTGTTTGCTGCTGTTTGGCCCACCCGCCCTCCCAGGCTCTTACCTGTCCTTTATTTCTGCTTTTTCAACCTCAGCTGCTTTGCGCAGCACAGCTGAGGTTGAAAAAGCAAGAAAAAAGAGGCTTTTCAAACGCTGCGCACCCACACACAGCGCTTTTTAGCTCTCTGGGCGGCACAGCTTAATTTCTTTTTACACGCGTACAAAACATTACACCAAACCGGTAGTAACACCACTTGAGTCCCACCCATGGACAGAGGGAATAACGATGAAGATGTAGATGCTTTTCCACCTGCAAGAAATGCAAGAGGGCTCACCATTGAACACAAAATATGAACAATCTTCTTGCCGGAGTCGTTAAGCAAATCACTGTGGTTGTTAAGTAAATCACATGGTCATTAAGTGAATCTGGCTTGGATTGTTAGAAGGCAGCTGGGAAGCTTGCAAAAGCAGGAGACCTTATACCATATACATATTACACAAAGAGAGAAACAGAGAGTCAGAGGGAGAGAGAGAGAGACAGAGACAGAGACAGATGGAGGGAGAGAGAACAAAAGGGAGAGACAGAGAGAGAGGGAGGGAGGGAGGGAGGGAGAAAGAGATACGCGTGTATGTACTGTGTTTCTCATATAATAAGGCCGGGTCTTTTTTTTTTTTTTGAGCCCCCCCAAAATGGCTAGGCCGTCTTTTTTGGGGTGACTTAATTCCCCTCCCCCTTGCATCTTCGGGCGGGTGGCGACGGCTTGGATGTTGACCTCGGCGTTGGTGGGGCACTTCGTATCGGGGTCAACGCAGGCAGCACCATATCCGGGTGTGCCACAAAAGTACTTCCTAACAGCAAGCCCCCCCCATCTCCCCCCCATTTCGCATGTTTTAATATAGGCCTTAATTTGGGGGGAGGGGCTTAATTTCATTTCATGCCTATAAAACATGCTGGGACTTCCTATTGGGGGAGGCCGTATTGTTGGAGAAACAGGGTATATATATATGTGTGTGTGTGTGTCATATATATGTATATGTACATGCACATGTACATGTGCATGCATATACCATAGACATATACTATATACATGCCCTTTACCAAATGTCCAAATTTTGATCACATGACTGTGGGGATGCTCCAGCTGTCATAAATGGGAGAGCCAGGAATAAGTCACTTTTCTCATTGCCATTGTAATTTTAAACAATCATTAAATGAATGGTGGTTAAGTCGAGGACCACCTATAAATAAATTGCATGTCGAAATAGACTAGTAGCAGTTCTCCGAGGAATGCATTTCATAGTTTAGGGGTACATTTGGAAACCATGTGCTTGGCTCAGGGCCAGATTGCAGTGTGGAGCTTTGTAGGTGTCTTTTGTATTTATTTATTTTTTTTTAGTAATGTGAATATACACATCTCTTTTGCTTTTTCTGCCACAACATACTGTGCATGGAAAGCTTACAAGAATGAATGGAGGTCCCCGGTACAGAGGAATTTAAAGATAGTCTTCCGATTTTTTAAAATAGAATAGAATAGAATAGAATTCATTAAGTGTGACTGGACACACAAGGAATTTGTCTTTGGTGCAAATGCTTTCAGTGTACATAAAAAGAAAAGATACATTTGTCAAGAGTCAAGAATCATAAGGTACAACACTTAATAGTAGTCATAGGGTACAATAAGCAATCAAATCATACTAGGAAACAGTCCATATAAATCGTAAGGATCCAAGTGACAAAGTTACAGTCATACAGTCACAAGTGGGAGGGATGGATGATAAGGAGTGATGAGAAGATTAATAGTAATAGTAGGGCAGACTTTGTAAATAGTTAGACAGTGCTGAGGGAATTATTTGTTTAGCAGAGTGATGGCGTTCGGGGAAAAAACCTGTCCTTGTGTCTAGTTGTTCTGGTGTGCAGGGCTCTATAGCATCGTTTTGAGGACAGGAGTTGAAACAGTTTATGTCCAGGTTGTGAGGGGTCTGTAAATATTTTCACAGCCCTCTTTTTGACTTGTGCAGTATACAGGTCCTCAATTGAAGGCAGGTTGGTAGCATCTAAAAAGAATGGTGATCTAAAAAGAAGAGATAGGGGTAATTAAAAGGTGATTGCACCATTAGCCTGACAGGGATATTTTCCTTTCTCCCCCCAGCCATTAATTTCCTGATCGAAACAGGGACGCTGATGCATTTCCCAGACACAAGCCATGGGCTGAGGAACCTCTACTTCCTTGACCCGGTGTGGTTGTCTGAATGCCTGCAGAGAATCTTCAACGTCAAAAGCTCCAAGTCAATTGCCAAGAACGGCGTGATCAAAGCTGAGGACCTCCGGATGCTGATGGTCGGGATGGGATTCACCAAAGAAGCTGAAGAGCAGTACTTCCAATTCCTTGCCAAGTTTGAAATTGCGTTACCGATAGCAAACAACAGGTACATCGGCAGGGTGACTGGGATTAGGGCCATGAAACAAAGTCACTCCACTTCTTTTCCTCCTTCTGTGATTTGGTTATTGGCAGAGACACACCAGGCTCAGAAAGCACAAAAATACTTGTACGATTATCTGGTGTACAAGTAGTCCTTGACGTACGATCACAACTGGGCCCAAAATTTCTGTTGCTAAAGGAGACAAGTGTTAAGTGAATGTGACCTTTCTTGCCACAGTGGTTAAGTGAATCACTGCAATTGTTAAGTGAGCAACACGGTTGTTAAGTGAATCTGGCTTCCCCATTGGCTTTGCTTACCAGATCACAAAAGAGGATCACATGAACCCAGGACAGAGGTGGTATTCAGCAGGTTCTGACCAGTTCTGGAGAACCGGTAGTGGAAATTTTGAGTTGTTCGGAGAAACGGCCAATATCACCTCTGAATGGCCCTGCCCCCATCTATTCTCCACCTCCTGAGTCCCAGCTGATCAGCTGGGTCTTCTTTGGTTGCCCTGCATAGGAGAACGGAGCTGGAAAGCAGGTTAGTGGGGTGGGGAGGGATTTTGGGGATTTTGCAGTATCCTTCCCCTGCCACGCCCACCAAGCCACACCCACCAAGTCATGACACGCCCACCAAGCCAGACCCACAGAACCAGTAATAAAAATGTTTGAATTCCACCACTGCCCCAGAATACTGCAACTGTCACAAATACGAGTCAGTTGCCAAGTGTCTGAATTTTGATCAGGAAAGCTGTAGTGATTGAGCCATTTTTTCCACTGGTGGTGTAACTATGAACAGTCACCAAATGAACAATTGTAAGTTGAGGACTATCTGTTTATGTGGAGACAAAGTGAGGTGGAACCTTTCTCCAAACTCTTTCCAACAATTTCCCAAAACAAGGATTCAGCCTTAAGGGTCATAGTAGCCTTGCAGCTGGAAAAAAAAACAACCCTCCATGGGAGGGTTATTTTTCCTTTGGAATTTAATGGGAGGTTAAGAAGCCAGAGAGATTGAAAGGATATTTGTACATGAAACACAGAACATCTCATGTTCTCCTTGGCCATCGTATCTCCAAACAAATTCCATCCATTAAAATTCGCCCCCTGTGTCCCCCAAAAATCTCCTTTGTAAGAATGTCTAAAGCAGTGGCGAGATTCAAAATGTTTTACTACCGGTTCTGTGGGTGTGGCTTGGTGGGCGTAGCAGGGGAAGGATACTGTAAAATCTCCATTCCCTTTCCGCTCCTGGGGGAAAGATATACTGCAAAATCCCCATTCCATCCCCATTCCACTAACCTGCTTTCCAGCTCCGTTCTCCTATGCAGGGCAACAAAAGAAGACTCAGCCAATAAGAGGCAGAAAATAGATGGGGACAGGGCCAGTCAAAGGTGGTATTTGGCGGTTCTCTGAACTTCTCAAAATTTTCACTACCGGTTCTCCAGAACTGGTCAGAACCTGCTGAATACCACCTCTGGTCTAAAGCAAGATCTCTTTCATCTAATGGAATTAAAACTAAAAGAAGAATGCAAGGGATTTATTTTATTCAAGACATTTGCATAGCCAAAATTTATTTCACCTATGGTTCATTGATCATCCCAGAGGCAGTCTGATAAGTCATGTATTCATGGCTTATTCTGCCAGTTTCTGGATTTATTTCCCTTACATTTCACCTTCTTAGATCCATGTGGGGCTAAAATACAGAGCCAGCTTGTGTTCTGAGCTCAAACATGACAAGCAGTGGTTAAAGCCAGAGTCATATTTGTGGTTTATTGGCTGTGATGGAGTTAATCTTCCTGTTCATCTGTTTCCCAGACCTTTCTGCAAGCAAGAACCAAGATCTCAATAAAACTGTCTGTCAGGATTCCAGCAGTTACCCCCATTTAAATCAAGAGTCTCGAGCCAAACTTCCAAAACTTCAAAAGGATTTATTGGGAGTTAACATGTCCGGCACTGCCTGGGTGTAGCTGACTCTGAGACTCATAATTCATTGACACCCTTGACCCTGGTCCCCCCCCCCCCCGGGTGTATCGTAATTCATATTCTCCAATGGGACAGATCCATATCCAAGAGTCATCAATCATGCTCTCCAGTTAGAATTTTGCAGGTGGCAGAAAGTTCGGTCACCTAGTTACTATCTTTGAAAACATTTGTGGAATGCAGTTTCGGTTTTGCAAGCTGCTGCACTGCTCCCCCCTCCCTTTCTGTTGGCAACTCTAAAAAGACCATAGAAATATTTTATGAGTTCAAACTGTCACTTATCTAAACTTATTTGGGCTGAAAAGATAAGCTGGATCAGGTTTGAGCAGTACTTAGGTGAGAGACCTCCAGAAAATTATAGTCATACCTTGGCTCTTCAAAATATGTCAAATTTGGTATCTGGTGCATTTTGAAGAAGCAGTCTTGTTCCAGCGCTCGTCTTTTCCCCAATAGTCGACACACCAGGAAGAACTTGTTGATGTCGACTGGCCTTGTGGCTTGCTATTTCTTCCAACCGAAATAGCAGGTCACATAGTAAGTTATATGGTTTTTCTCACTGGTTATAGTCTTCTGCAGGGATGGGATTCTACCAGTTTGGACCAGTTCTATAGAACCAGTTGCTATGATTCTGCACAGTTTGGAAAACCAGCAAATCATGCCCCTGGCTGGCCGCGCCCTGCCCTGCCCTGGCCCTCTTTGCCTGCCCCTCCCCTCACAGCCTCAGCGTCCTTATCATGCATGTGCAACATTGTGCGCATTCCCGACATTGCTGACTGCATTCTTCCCCACCCAGTCACTCTTCAAGGTATTTCTTTTTCCCCCCTTCTGATGATCAGCTGTTCCTATGATCAGCTGTTCCAGGATTCCCCTTGCTGTCTTACTGCTTTGTCCAGGAGGCTTCCTTGAGACCCAGGAAGGCAAAAAATGGAGCACCCCCCCTCAATTTTTTTCCTTCATGGACCCCAGGGAAGCCTTCTGGGAGCAAAAACACCCCCCCAGAAGGCCCCCCAAAAGTGCAGAGAGGTGCTGCAAAAAGAAGGAGGAGGAGGAGGAGGAAGCCATGCCCACCCAGTCACATGGCCATGCCCCACCTAGCCACACCCACCTAGCCATGCCCACAGAACTGCTTGTTAAAAAATTTGAATCCCACAATTCTGGAACGAATGAGGGCTGAGGTACCATTGTATCAGGCTGTACTAGCTAGAATGTTCCAAGATCTTATTGGAAAAATATAAGAAGCAAAGTTGCTTCCATACTGTTGCCAAGAAAACTGTCTGGACATACCTACGTAGTCCTCAGAACCTGCGCACAACTTTAACAGTAATAGGTTACTTTTGAAAAGGGCAAGAGACCATAAAATCATTTCATCAAAAGGGAACCAGCTTTAGACACACAGAAAAAAGCACTCTTTGACAAGGAGCTTACAGCTAAGACATGGCATGAGTTGGTTTCATGCAGGAATGATGTTCTCACTGGTTTATTATGCCTTAGGTCAGGGGTCCCCACACTTGGGAACTTTAAGACTCCCAGATTTCTGGGAGTTGAAGTCCACAAGTCTTAAAGTTGCCAAGTTTGGAGACTTCTGGCTTAGCTTTATGTGTAAACAAAGCCACCCTGGCTTATTCAGCAGACTGTGTTGTTTCCAGATTTTGGATACAACAGTCAGTCCCTTACCGCTGCCCACACTGGCTGAGGCTAATAGTAGAAACTGCAATCCAATCCTTTCTGGAGACTACTAATAGAATGTGTCACTATTGCAGAGGTCTATTTCCCTTCCCTTCCACCCAATTTATTACATCTGGCTGGGGGGTGTGCCTAAAAAGAATCAAAATAAACTTTGCGCATGAAGTTGACACGTTAGCAGGTCCTTCTGCCAAGAAGATAGGGTGTCGAGTCTTTGCATTTGTGTTGGACTTGTCTTAAGGAAATGGATTCTTCAATCCTGCCATCATGAGTTTCTCTGAACTATGAGTCAGAAGCTCTTCTAAATACCAGAAGCTGTTTAATTTGGGGCTTAAAAAAAAGCATATTTTTTTTCTTCAATTTGTTCTTTCTTCCCCCTCCTCCTCTTTTCTTGACAAACCTATCACAGCAAGGAAGGACATCATTGTCTCCCTTTCGCACCCTTTTCAGAGCCTTCTCGTTCAAATGCTGCTCTTTATTGACGCGGTTACTATGATTAGCTCTCTAGGATGGATCATCGGCAGTTAGCATCTGGGTCATTGGACAAACATTTGGTGACCCTGTAGAAAAGCTGTTGTCCCTTTTGTCAGCCAAGAAACATATTTTGGAATCTTCTAACAGAGATAAATGCACTTTGTGCTAAAGAGCTCAAGTTTAAGGGTTATTCTGAGACTGTAGCTGACTTGTTCCCTTGTCTCAGTTCCCACATGGAGCCAAAAGTACATTATTCAGGACCACTGACCACAATTCATGCCACGATTCTGAAAGTTAATGCAGTTAATTATTCAGTACAATGTAATTTTTCATTGGTATACCTTTTTTCTGAAAGTGGTTCCTGGTCTTAAAAGAAACCAAGATCCTTCATTGCTTTCATTTGTAAAATCAGGCTCTTCTTCTAGCATTCAATTATAATGGTGTTTTTTTTTATGACAATTACAATTTTAAAAACAAATTGTGTTCAGTATTTTTGCACTTAGACATTTCACAGGGAAACCAAGACAAGGTGTTTAATAGAAGCTCTTTTTATGTGTAAGATGCTGCAGTGGCAAATCATCACAACTGTTGTTAGAACAGTTCACCTGGAGGTTTATCTATGTCCGCAGAGTCACCTGAGTGGTGCAGATTGGTTTGGAGCTTTCTTGGAACTGTTGAAAGGATTGTGTTGTAGATGTGTTTGTTCTCTTAGGTTGTGACACAGCCTAGGACAGGGGTTTACAACTGTAAACACTCAAAGAGCCATTTGGACCCATTTCCCACAGAAAAGAAAACATTGGGAGCCTCAAAACTTCGGTGGGTGTGGCCAACTCAAGGTCACTCCCACCCAGTCACATGACACACACCCCACCACACCTACCCAGGTTTTGTGGCTCCTGGTGTTTTCTGTGCGAAATGGGTCTCCCTCCCTCCCTCTCATTTCTGTTTTTTATGTTTTACCTTCTCAGCCTAGGTGAGGAGTGACTGGGAGGGTGAGGGGCAAGGCCAGCCAGTGGTGGGATCACCCAACAGGGAGCCATAGCAGAGGCCCCAAAGAGTTGCATGTGGCTCCAGAGCCGCAGGTTGCTGACACCCGACCTAGGAGAACAAACACATCAAGACTAGATTCAGGAGTCCACCTGCATTTAAAAGACACTGGACAGTCTTTTGGAGACAACAAAGTCCCTATTTTGGATAGATAGGATCTCTGGTTTGAAAGAGGGGTCAAAGAGGCCATCTATGTCAAAACTGAATAGCCCTCTCTCAACAGAGGGAGAGTGATACGACATCCTCTATCTCCAATCTACAACACAGTCCTTTTAACAGGTCCAGGGAGGCTCCACACCAATTTGCACCACTCAGATGACCCTGAAGACACAGATAAACCTCCAGGTGGCCTCAATGACTCTCTAAAAAGGATGCAAATGACCAGCTGTCTGCAAGAAATATAAATCCTTCCATTCCCCATCATCCTGTCAGAGCTGAAGAAGCTTCTTGAATGAGAAGCGAAATGTCTTCAACGAAAAACCAGAAAGTCCAGTTGCCTCTTTGAGGGGAAAAAAAAAAAAGCACCTTTGGGGCAACCATGACCTGGATGATGCAGCATCTCCATAGATAAAGAGCAGGTACTTTCCTTGTGCAAAGTCACATTATAAACACAGCAACCTACAAAACCCACAATTGCCTCAATAAAACACCCTAAAAGTAGATGGGAAGAATCTAGATTTTGGCGGGCGGGGGAGGGAAATAGGAAAGAGGCAGTGGTGGGATTCAAATTTTTTTACTACCAGTTCTGTGGGCGTGGCTTGGTGGGCGTGGCCAGGGAAGGATATTACAAAATCTCCATTCCCTCCCCTCCCCTCCCCACTAACCTGCTTTCCAGCTCCGTTCTCCTCTGCAGGGCAACCAAAAAAGACCCAGCTGATCAGCTGGGACTCAGAGGGAGGCAGAGAATAGATGGGGGTGAGGCCAGTGAGAAGTGGTATTTGCCGGTTCTCCAAACTACTCAAAATTTCCGCTACTGGTTCTCCAGAACTGGTCAGAACCTGCTGAATACCACCTCTGGAAAGAGGATGTTAGAACTTAAGTGTCTGAACATGAAGTATGAGACACAGTAATGGGATGTATCGGTAGATGTTTTCATCCAGCAGATGGTAATGAAGTTCTCCTTTCCAAACCTTCACCTTGTATAATCGGAATGTTTAACTGGGTTTCAGTTATCTCCTGCCCCACCTGCTTCCTGCCAAGCCAGCCTTTGATGTTCACAGCTTACGGCACCAGACAACAAACACCATCCAAAGAGTATTCAAGATGAGCTTTGTTCCTGTTGGGTTTTGGCAACGGTTCATAGCCCGGATGCTGATAAGCCTTGCAGAGATGGATCTTCAGGTATGCGGATGAAAGAACTTCCGCGAGTGATGAAACCACAACACATTTTGGCAAATGTGCTTTCTCGGTCTACAGTGGAATGTATTGTTTTATCTAGCTTGGTTCACGGTTTTAAGAAGATAAAAGGGGACAGAAACAAACGTGAAGAGAGAAAAAGAGAAGGAGGAAGAAGAAACTCAAGGGCAGAGCTAAAATGAATAAAAGAGAAAATCTGAACAGAAAAGAAGGGTGGGGGAGATATAGGAGAAGTAGCTTCCAATCTTCTTTACAGCAGTTATAAGTACAATTATAAAATACATAATTATAAATATATCTCTTGCAACTCAGCTCTCTTTTCTATAATCTGTTCTGGCCGAAGATGGAATGTAAAGCATCAGCTGTGAACATTTTATGATTGTCTGATCTTATGATCATAATCCCATGAGTAGCTTATGATTGTTGTGGACCAGAGGTCTCCAAACCTGGCAACTTTAAGACGTGTGGACTTCAACTTGGGAGTTGAAGTTTACAAGTCTTAAAGTTGCCAAGTTTGGGGACCCCTGTACGTGGACCAATGAAAATTAAAAGTTATATTCATTAGTGGGGTCCAAAGTCCATTCACCTCACAGCTTCATTCAGCATCCTTGGAAAATGTACCCTTTCCAGCTTTAATTATGTGCCAGAATTGCATTGTCCTCAGAATGTATTAGTATTAATGCTCTTGCAGGGCACAGATTCGGAAATCGGGGTTTTCGAGAATAATGTTGGCGAGGAAGCCAAATTTGAGTTTGCTAATGGAGATGCCACTCGATTAAATCCCTTATAACATCTATTGTTCCCTATCGGATTTTTTTTCTTTATTGTGGTCCAATCCCAAGGAGGGTATTTGGATGGCATTAAGAACTACCAAAACCGTCCTTCGCAATTATAGAACAAAGCTTTGTTTTATCTTCAAAGCAAAAGAAATTCAGGCATGCCTGTATCCAGAACGTGTGTGTTCTGCTGAAGACATAATAGAAATACATTTGGCACTAGTTAATTCTAAGCACTTGATTACATTGGCATTAACTTCATGGGCAATCTGTGTAATTAGCCATCCAATCTTGTTATCTTGTTATTATCTTGTCATCACTTCAAACTGTTCAGCTGATTTGTATCAACACTGGGAATAATTATGTATGATTTCAGGGCCGTGGTAGGCTCATATAAACATACAGTTTATAGTGTATGTTGAAAGTATTTCTCGGGAACCCTGCAGGGTGTGTTCTTGGTATCACCCCAGAATTAAGGATGCGAAATGGCAGTCTTCAGTGGCAATGCAATTGACTGATTGATTGCTGGATAACAAGCAAAACATGCCACCAATAGCAATGTAGTTTCCCAAAACTGAAACAACCCATTGTTCCACTGTTCTCTGAGCCAGACAGACTTTACTTTAAGCATAGCCTTTAGTTCTGGAAAAGATTTGGAAAAACAGGTACAAAGAAAAATGTGAAGATGATCCAGAGATAACGTAGGAAGCATTGTATTATTGGAAGAGATTGAGGGACACGGTTATGATTAGCTTTCAGAAAGCAGATGTCAGACCTGCCCCAATCTGATCCCTTAGGAAAGAAAGACCCTCGACTCCATTTGTTTGAAACAAAAAGTTATTTTACTAAAAGATGTTGGCTGCAGTAAAGTGAGGCTTGGTTTTTGTTCCCTGCAAGCAAAAAATACAGAAAAGTTTCCCCTCATCCCAGCCACCCCCCACCCCCACAAGAACATCTTTAGCCAATCAGAACTCGCAGAAGTGTTTTGAGAACACTGAAGTGTTTTGGGGTAATCAACATTCTTTCTCAGGGTGCCTGGCCTTGGATGCTGATACAAACTGGTTCTGAGTTTCTCTGGACTTTATCACTTGTCATTCTCCCCTTCCTATTTCCCATCATGTACACACACCATTTATTGCCCATCTATCCTTCCTCCTGCTTCTGACCTTTGATGGCAAGGTTGACCCCCTATTCTTTGTGGCAGCTCCTAAAATACTGGAATACTGCTATCATGTCACCCCAGACCTTCTTTTGTCTAGACTACCTTGCAACCATTCTTCATATGTTTTAATCTCCCAACCCTTAATCATCTTAGTTGCTCTTCTCTGCATCATTTTTCCAAAGTCTCAGCATATTTTTACAACGTGGTGACCAAAACTGGATGCAGTGCTCCAGGTGTGGCCTTACCAAGGTTTTATTTTATTTATTACTGATCTGGTACTATTCTTTTTGTAATATGTTCGTTTTCCCCCTTCTTCTAGTTTTTTGAAAACAAGAGGATGACCAAGAACAGAAATAGAAGTTCTGTAATCTACAGCTTTACGGGCACACAAAGAAACAGATGCAGCACATTCCGGGTTAAAAGAAATCACACGATTTATTGGCAAGAAGGATTGTTTGTCTCCTTCGATGGTGGCTATTTGAGGTAAATATTACAGAAGGTGGATTCTGTCCTAAGGCATTGCAAACCCCAAAGTAAGATGGAACTTTAAAAATACCTCTCATCATTTCTTGGTAAGTACAGAGATGGGAGTTTAATTTTTCACAATCATGGTTAGAGTCGGTACAAGACCATATAAAATGTCTCAGGTTCTGTGTCATCGGCAGCTTAGTGGTGATACTCAAATTCTTTTACTACCAGTTTTGTGGGTGTGGCATGGCTTGATGGGTGTGCCTTGGTAGGTGTGGCAGGGGAAGGATACTGTAAAATCTCCATTCCTTTCCCACCCCACTAACCTGCTTTCCAGCTCCGTTCTCCTGTGCAGGGCAACAAAAGAAGACTCAGCCGATCAGCTGGGAGTTGGGAGGCAGAGAACAGATGAGGGTGGGGTCAGTCAGAGGTGGTATTTGCCGGTTCTCCGAACTACTCAAAATTTCCGCTATCAGTTCTCCAGAACCTGTCAGAACTGGCTGAATAACCACCTCTGCTGCTTAGCTTTAATTAAGTTGACAAGCAACTCTATGCTGCTAGTTTGAACTCTATGGAGTTTAGTGGAGTTTTCTCCCCAATAACTGTGATTACAACTGCAGCCTCAAAGACCAAAATTAACGTTGATCCATTCAGTCTTGGGACTGATTTTTTTTTTTACAGTAATCTTTGACTTATGACCATTTCCTTAACCATTCAAGGTTACAGTAGTTCTGAATAAAGTGAGTTACAATTGTTTCTCACACATACAACCATTATAGTCTCCTTGCAATTACATGATCAAAATTTGGGAGCTTGATCACCTATATGTATTTACACCAGTTTACAAGTCCTTGAATTATGTGATCACCAATTGTGACTTTCCCAAGGGCTTCTGACAAGCAAAGCCCATGGGGGAAATCAAATTTCCTTAAGGAGCCTGTAATTTTCTTAATGACTATGGCAAAAAAGTCAAACATTGGGAATTACTCAATATGAACAACCATATTTCTTAGTGACATAAATTTCTGTCCCAGTTGTGGCCATATATCAAGGACTACTTATAGTTATTGCCACTGCTTTGCCTGGGAAAAAGCAGGAAACTGGCATTTTGAGCCACAGTGGTGTAGTGGTTAGAGTGCAGTACTGCAGGCTACTTCTGCTGCCTGCCGGCTGCCTGCAATGTGGCAGTTCAAATCTCACCAGGCTGAAGGTTGACTCAGCTTTCCATCCTTCTGAGGTGGGTCAAATGAGGACCCAGATTGTTGGGGACAATAGGTTGTAAAGCACTGTAAAGCAGTATGTAAGTCTATGTGCTAGTGCTATTTTCTCTGAAGATGACTCAAAGGTGCTTTTTCAAAAGGCAGCTGGACTTTGTTTTTCCTTAAAAACATTTTGCTCCTCATCTAAGAGGATCCATCTTCAGTTCTGACTTCAGTTCTCTTCTCTGGAGATCCACCATAGATAAATGATACACATTTTTCTCAAGGCCATCTTCTCCATCTGTTCCTCCTCTTCCTCCTCTTCTTTATTACATTTTTCTCAAGGCCAACTTTGGTCTTTGAAAGTCATTATTCTAAATTCCCACCTTTTAGGTTATCGTTTCCCCAAAAAAACCTTCCTCAGATTTGGAAATGATGAAGATCAAACATTTTTAAAGCCAGAAAACTTGGAGGCCAAAGTAAATATTCGTATTCTTCTACTCAGACAACTTTCATCTTACTGCAGCTAGTGGCTCCGTAATGTTTTCCTTTGTTTTTTGTTCTTTGAGATCAACTTTTGGGTGGGGAATGATGAGTTCTGTTCCAATGCTGGAAACACAGTTCCAGACTGCACAGTTTTCTCAGATTGTCTTAATCTTCAATAATGAATTGTTCCCCATGAGCACTGTTTTGAGCCTGGTTCTGTTTGAGAGAAATCTGGGGTGTTTAGTGAAAGCAGAGTTAAATCCTGCAAGTTTGCAAAGCATGTGTGCACCACCTTTCAAATGGGGACTTTCAGTGCACACATGCAAATTTTAAACTTCTTTGACCCTCACACAAAGAAGAGCAATTTCAGGATTCATGCTGTGCGTTCACACAGAGGGTTGTATATATAACCTCCCATTGTTTTATTTCCAGCTACCAGCCTTTCCCCTTTTCTGATTATAAAAAGAACCCTGTTGAACTGGGAAATGAAAGCAGAGTGTTCAATTCCCAGGAATGCAAGTAGCCCTTGGCTTATATATGACCAGAATTGAGCCCAAAATTTCTCTGGTTGTGTGAGCTGTGTCCCACTTTACGGCCTTTCTTGCCACGGTTGTTAAGAAAATCACTGCAATTGTTAAATTAGTAACACACAGTTGTTAAGTGAATCTGGTTTCCCCATTGACTTTGCTCATTAGAAAGTCTTGTGACTCTGGGACACTCTGCAACCGTCATAAATATGAGTCAGTTGCCATGTGTTGATCACGTGACCATGGGGATGCTGCAAACGGTCATAAGTGTGAAAAACAGCCATGATTCATTTTTTCAGTGAAGTTGTAACTTTGAACGGTCGCTACATGAACTGTTGTAAGTTGAGGAGTGTTGCAAGGAGTGAAAGAGATTGCAAGATTTTGAGAAACCTGAACCCCTTGCTACATCCTTAGGTACATCACCTTTTGGATGAAAGGAGTAGACCTAAGAAAAACAAATAAAAATAAATAGATAACAGTGCACAAGAGAGGTTTCTTAGCTGCTAAGTCTCAGCGGGAAAGCTGCTAGAAATAGACCCAATTCTCCTTCCGTTGGATCAGTTTCTCAATCTTCTTTCTCTTCACTTTGATTCCGGCAGCGTGGAGTCTTCTGATGTGAATTGGAAGAAGAAGAAAAGTGGTGGCATTAAAATCATCTGCCAGTCAGACGTGAGGGATTTTTCAGCAATGGCTTTCATCACTGATCATGTGAATTCTTTGATCGACCAATGGTTTCCTGGTAAGAATGAATTCCGCATTTTAATGTGAGCCACAGTGTACATGGAAAAGCGATAATAAAGCTTTCTTGCCTTGCCTTGACTGGTCTTGCCTTGCCTTGCCTACCGTACCGTACCTTGGCTTAGCTTAGCTTATTTTATCTTGTCTTATCATTTCAGCTAAAATGGGGATGAAGTGGCCTAAGCTTGAAATACTGTTATTTTTAGGGATGTGTATCCTGGATGATCATATTACAAGAAACAATTATGTAATTGTTTTGCTTTCTCTTATGCTGTATGAATCCATCTCATAATTCATTCATCCATCCATTAATTCATCCATTCATTCAATTTATATAGATGCCTATCTGCCATATTAACAATTAGCTAAAAACTTAAAATACAACAAATGAAAACAATGAAAAGATATCATATCAGAGATAGATCATAGCTAAAAAAATCTCTACAGTAAAGTAATCACATAAACTATTTAAATGATCTCACTTAATTTTCTGGCCCAATACCTGTGTGAAGAGCCAGGTGTTCAACAGATATTATAGATGCTATATTATGAATATAAGCCATAATTTGTGGTTTACAATATGGTGTGAATCCATTACTATTTATTTAAGAAACCACAGCTCAGCATGGTTTACGTGTTCAACCTTACTGTCAGGTGGTGTGCTTCCACTATAATTTGTAAAGATGGCACTGGCTGCTTCAGAATGGTTTGTGAAAAATGCATAAATGTTTTTCATCTTGTGTCACATTACATTAACTCACTTTAAAAGTTTACAAACATGAGGATAATTTCATACAAAGTGGGCGTGTGCGTGCGTGCCTCTGATCATGCACTCAAAAAGAACAAACAGAATGAAAAAAAAACATCCATAAATGCATTTTGGAGACGCACTTCCTCCCTTTCCCTGAAATGCCAGTTATGAAATATGCATGCCTCATTGAAAATCAAAGAATACTGTGTTTTTAATGTCAGAATGTTGTCTTTGTTCGAAAGCAGATTCCGATCATTTAACTTCCTCAGTAAATTAATTCATCAACTAAACATCGCATTACTCCATTAATTAGGTTGACACTTTGATCATTTCTGAATGTTGGTAAGGCATGAAGAAGAAGAAAGGAATGGCATTATGACAAGTAAATTCAAATTCTTGGAGTTTAAAATGATAAAGAAGCTAAGTACTAAAAATACGGAACTAAGAGTTACTGATTTCATGATTAGGTGATTCTGGCAACAGCATGTTTATTTATATCTATATAAATAATGTGTGTGTGTGTGTGTGTGTGCACACTGAGGAATTACTGTTAGTTTTTGAAGACTCAACCTGTGTGTGCGTATGGAAACATCAGCAATAGCAATAGCACTTAGATTTATATACGGCTTCATAGTGCTTTACAGCCTTGTCTAAGTGGTTTACAGAGTCAGCCTCTTGCCCCCAACAATCCGGGTCCTCATTTTACTGACCTGGGATGGATGGAAGGCTGAGTCAACCTTGAACTGGTCAGGATCAAACTCCTGGCAGTGAGCAGTGAATTAGCCTGCAATGCTGCATTATAATCACTGCGCCACCAAAGCTTACACAGTGGTAGTAGAATATACATTCATCTCCTTGTGAAGCATTCCATAAATATGTGGTTAGCTACTGTGCTACCCCCATTGGAGGATCAGGGTGGATCTTGGCTTGATCTATCAGAACTCTTCTTTGGGTCTACTGTCAAGGAGCACATCCAGAAGTCCAGAGCTATCTATCATCTCTAGAAACCTTGGAGAAAGATCTTAGACTTTTGTCAAAAGTTATAGCCAGCTTTGTCTTCGGTTCTTGGGGGCTAGAAGGAGAAAATAATTGTATTAACTAATTTAAAATACAATATAAATCAAATTTTTGGTTTGAATCAGAAGACTTTGGAGAATATTGAGGAATATATGGGGAATGAGCTGTGGTGGCGCAGTGGTTGGGATGCAGTATTGCAGGCTAACTCTGCCGACTGCCAGCAATTCAATTCTCACTGGCTCACTATTGACTCCACCTTCTATCCTTCCGAGGTCAGTAAAATGGGCACCCAGAATGTTGGGAGCCAGAGGCTGACTCTGTAAACCGCTTAGAGCGGGCTGTAAAACACTGTGAAGCGGTATCTAAGTTTAACTGCTATTGCTGTTGCTATTGCTATATTGTCCCCAGCAGGGCACACCAAATGCAAATTATGGTTCATAACTTGAAAAAAGTTGTGCAGCTTGATTAAAAAAAAAAAGGCCTGAAATGGATAATTTTGATAAATAGGTCCTCTAAGCTATCATCCCTAACTATCCCCCACCAGTTTAACTTCCTAAGATTTAGAATCTCCTACAAGGGAATGTGTTTTTAAGTAAGTAGTATTTCTAGCAAGCTTCTCAAAGCCTGCAGGAGGGGAGTTTTCATTACAATGGCCTTTTTAGACCTTGAAAAGAATTTGGCATGGAAGCTAGTGCCTCTTCAGAGAGAGTTTGAATTTTCTGGCAACTGGACTCAGAAACCCAGGGCAGGTGCAAAAATTAGAAGTCCATCAGCAATTTTTATGCATTTTATTAAATTGGGGGGGGGGGATTGCCAGATTCCTTCTGATTTTTGGATACTAATGATTATGGCCGCCTTCTTCATTTCTAGCACAGGATGCTATTTTGATTCAAGTGCAGATTTCAGCTGTCCTGTCACTGCAATCCCCATTGTCCATTCCTCTGATGGCAATAGCACTTAGACCTATACACCACTTCACGGTGCTTTTACAGCCCTCTCTATGTGGTTTCCAGCATCAGCATCTTACCCCCAACAACAGTCTTATCCACCTTGGAAGGATGGAAGCAGTGGTGGGATTCAATTTTTTTTACTACTGGTTCAGTGGGCATGACTTGGTGGGCGTGGCTGGGGAAGGATACTGAAAAATCCCCTCAACCCCAAACAATCAGTCACATGGTCCAATGAAGGGCGCTGTCTGGTCGCCTGGTGACATCCCTCCTCCTTCCTCCAGCCAGGTGTGAGAACTTCCTTGGTTCCCAAGAGAAAGTATTTTGTTTTGAATACAAACCCCAGCTATCTCTAATCCCCCCCCTCCCTATCCCTCAGCTCCAGTGTGGCAGCACTGAAGCTCCAAGATGGCTTCGGCCAGGCCAGTTTCAGGGTTGACAGGCTGCCTCCCTCAACTGAAGTGGAATTCCTGCAAGACAAAACATACAGAGGGAAATAAGTCAAGGTTCACCTTAACCCCCTGTTCCTCCCCCTGGAGGCCCCTTAGCCTTCTGAGGGAACTGATTGTAATACTGTTTAACCAACCTATCAGGCTCCACATCCCAATCAATGCAGTGTCCTCTGGTCACCTGACATCACTCCTTTCTTTGGCTAGATGTGAGAACATCCTTGGTTCCCAAGAGAAAGTATTTTGTTTTGACTAGATAACCCCAGTATCTCTAATCCCCCCTCCCTATACCTCAGCTTTAAGTGTGGCAGCACTGAAGTTTCCAAGGTGGCTTCCGCCAGGCCAGCTTCAGGGTTGACAACATGATTTTGTTCCTGTTTCTGTTCCGTTCTGCTCATTCTTCACCTCCTTGTCCAGTTCTGGGCAACCAACTTTTGAAAGAGATATCTCCAGTATGCATGCCTGTGTCCCCTCTATGAGGGAGATGAATAGCTCAGACGTTTGATATATAAATAAATAAACTATATTTTTCCAGCCCTCACTGCCACCGAGAGTGACGGGACTCTACTGATGGAGCAATATGTGCCTTGCCCCGTCTGTTCGACCACAAAGCCCCAGGATGGAGAAGACAGCCCCCCAAAAGAAGATGGCCAGTACTTCAATATGGAAGACTGTTTTCTCACGGCTATTGAGCAAGACCACATCACCTGTGCCCAGCATCCAGATCTACCTGTCCCTTTACAGGAACTGGTCCCTGAACTTTTCATGACGGACTTTCCAGCCAGGTAATAAGGAACTTTCATTCTTTCCCCCAAAATTATGGCTTCTGAATTTCATTTCCTGCAGTTTCCTACATTTCCCCCCCAATCACCTACTGTGCTCAAGAATATACACTGCTCAAAAAAATAAAGGGAACACTTAAACAACACAATGTAACTCCAAGTCAATCACACTTCTGTGAAATCAAACTGTCCACTTAGGTAGAAACACTGACCGACAATCAATTTCACATGGTGGAAAGCATAGGCAGTTAGCAAGACATCCCCAATAAAAGAGCAGTTCTGCAGGTGGTGACCACAGACCACTTCTCATTTCCTGTGCTTTGTGGCTGATGGTTTGGTCACTTTTGAAAGCTGGTGGTGCTTTCAATCTAGTGGTAGCATGAGACAGAGTCTACAACCCACACAAGTGGTTCAGGTAGTGCAGCTTATCCAGGTTGGCACATCAATGCGAGCTGTGGCAAGAAGGTTTGCTGTGTCTGTCAGCATAGTGTCCAGAGCATGGAGGCGCTACCAGGAGACAGGCCAGTACACCAGGAGATATGGGGTGAAGCCATAATGTGTAGTAACCATGTTTTAAACAATGTAGTTAACACAACAACTGGAAAATTGCTATTCGCTCGTTGGCATGGCAGAAAGCGAAATTTAAGTTACCTATACACATTTGGAGCTTGGTTTCTTAGGACCAATTATGTCAGCAAAAACAACCTCTAAAGGTTCTTTGGTTTTAAACCCATTAAGTCTGTTTGCAGGAGTAACCTTACTTTTATCTTGGCTACAGGCATTACAGTTTAAATACTTGCTACATGGTTTCAATTTTACTCCCTCTGACAATTCAACAGTTTGTTTGAGCATTTTGAAATTAATGTGCCCTAGACATCTGAGTAATAAATGTATACATTCATCATGTGGCTTAACATTGTTATAAACTGAGTTAGCCATCTTCAACTGGTCATCGTGTATTACATATAAATCATTCTCTAAAGTAGCAGTAACACTTTTACCTTCTTTCTCTATTATACAGTTATCTCCCCTAAAGGTTACTACATAACCAATATTAACTAAAGCCCTTACTGATAATAAATTAAATTTCAGTTTAGGTATATATAACATAGTTAAATGTTCGTTTATACAAGAACAATATGCAGTACCTTCACCTGATGTGTTCATCTTCCATCCATTTGCCAATGATACATGTTGTTTACTCGTGGACATCTTTACAAATCTTTTTCTATCTTTAGTAATGCACTGCAATGCTCCACTATCAACAACCCACAAATCATGGTTTACAGTTGAATTGCTAGACATAGCTACACTAACATTCTTCTTGGTCTTCTGGTGTTTACTAGTATTCTGTCCTTTTCTTTTCTTACAGAATCTAGCTATATGTCCCCTAGCCCCACAAGAAAAACATTTCCTAACTGTATAGGCAGTTGAAGACAAATTCTCTTCTTGTGGTTGTTCCTTCCTCATTTGGTCCCTATCCAGCCATCTTCTTGCTTCTTCTAACAATCTTCCAGTTAGTCAATGTCAGTCGATGTCAGTTTATGTCAGTTTATCTCTGAGCAGGACTTCCAGTGAAGATACATAATCATCATAACTTTCATCCAATGAGGAAAGAATGATGTAAACTTGATGCAGCTCTGAAAATATCAGTTCTTTTTCATGTAGCTCTTGAAAAGTTCTTTTCATGAAGTTTAAATGAGCTAACATATCTCCACCTTTCAGAAGACGTGCTCTAAACAATTTACGTGTAAGATGTATGTGTGCACCTACACTGTCACGAACATAAATCCTCTTCAAATTCTCCCAACACTTAGCAGCAGACTCTTCTCCACGAATATGGACTAGCTGCTGGTCACTCAGTGTTAGTCCAATTATACAAAGAGCTTGTTCGTTGTTCTGTTTAAAGTCAGCAAGCTTCTTGGCATCATCCTCATTTGCTGGATCCCAAGCATTTACATCTGGTGGGTCTTGAACTACATTCCATAAACCTTGTCTACGCAGAAGTAGACTGCATTTCATAGACCAGAAAACATAGTTTGTTCCATCCAACCGGGTTATCAGTGATAGACTTGTTGAAGTGACTTGTGCCATCTTTACCAGGATAGTAAACCACAATTAAACAGTAAACAGCTGTCTGTATTCAGTACTGTGCATTCACACTAACTCTCAGTTATCTGAACCTGGTATGGCCTGGGCCCATAACCAGTGCTGAGGTAATTCCCCGTTAGGAGAATGAGCGCATACAGGGAGACGTATAGAGAGTAGTGTTGGACTAATACACACAGAGCACACAGATACACTGTACAGTAAATGTAGGTTTTTACTTCCAGAAATGTTAAGCAAAGTCCAAACAAGCAATCCAAAGTCATTCATAGGTAAATCAATCAGTTTTGAATCCAGGGAATCATTCAATAACAAATTCCAGTGTCAAAAACAGTTCAGTATCAGACTTTCATCAAATCCATGAATATCAGTCAATTAGGAAAAATGGTGCAACAGCAATACTTTCCAACAGAAGGAAACATAGATACACTCACACTCTCTTCTGAGACTCAGACTAAACAACCCAGGTTTCTGGCTCCATCTTATGGCCATTTGAGAAACCACACCTAATTACAGTTTTGCATTTTCTTAAAGATACAGTTTTAAAATATTTATCCTGGTTTATATATTTCTAACCCAAATAGCTGTTAGGTGACTCATATTCCTAACAATGTGGATCATGTTTGCAGCAAATTCCTTACATTTCTGCCTACCGTAGTCTACCCCAGCAGGCTTTTCCAGTTTGGTGTTCTTCAAGTATGCTAAGAAATTCAGCTTCCAGAATTTCCACCAGTAGAAACTGGGGGGTTGCATTATCTATACAGTTAGAACAATTAATCAGTGGAAACTCCAGATGTTGTGGATGCTCCATCACTGGAGGTTTTCAAGAGACTGGACAGCCATTTGTCTGAAATGTTATAGGGTCTCCTACCTGAGCAGGAGTTTGGACTAGAAGACCTCCAAGATCCCTTCAAACTCTGTTATTATGTCAATACATTGGGTGGTATCAAGCTGACCTAGTTATAGTTGACCTAGTTGACCTAGTTAAAGGGAACCTGTCCCACCTGTCCAAGTGGTAGGTGATCACCTGAAATTGTTAACAAATAGCAATTTTTAGAGTGATAGAAGGTAAGTAAAAAAAAAAAAACTTGACTACTGGTGACACCAAGAATCTCTTTTGTTGACAGTTCAGAATTGGCTTTTATTTCTTCCATGTAATTTTTTTTAAATTTCACAGTCCAGCTGACAACCTGGTCTCCAACCCTAGTCCTAATCACATCTAACCCTGCTTGAGTTTGTGTTGTTGTTTTTTTTGGCATCTACCCAGGATGGCTACCACCTGCTGGATGAAAATGTTAACCACACAAAGTGAACCATCCTTTTAATCTCATCTAAATAGAAATGAGATCAAATCTCATGTTATTTCCATCCTACCCAAGGAGGGCTTCGAAAATTTTAGCAAAAGGTTCTCTGCCCAGTTGCTGGGTGGGCGTGGGCATGGCCATGGTGGGTGTGGCCTAGGCGGCCTCCTGCACCATGGTGGGGGCACGTTTTTGCCCTCCCTGGGCTCTGGAGGCTTTTCTTGAACCTCCAGGAGGGCAAAAACGGCCTCTCTGGACTCCGGAGGTTCTCTGGAAGCTGGAAATGAGCCCATTTCCAGCCTTCCTGAACTTCCAGGAGGCCCATTTTTCACCTTCCCCAAGACTCTGTGCGCACCCTGCACTTACCTGCATCCAGAACAGGCCACGTGGGGACTCCTGGGAGGGGTGGGGTGGGTGGGATTTGGGGGTTCTCCAAACTGCACAGAATCTTAGCTAGGGGCTCTCCCGAAACCCTGCGAATCCCCAGCAGTCCATCCCTGCCTTCTACCCCATTCACTATTTTCGGGGGGAAAGTATCTTCTTCACACTTTGTAAAGTCCAAGTGTGGAGCTCAGCCTGGAAAAATTGTGCATCTTTGCTGTAAACAGACATGCTATACCCAGGAAAAGCTGATGGGAAAAATCTCATTCAAAAGCATCATCCTACACACGTCAAAAAATGCTTCCTTGGTTTTCTTATTTATTTTATTTGTGTGTTTGTAAAATTTATTGTCCACCTGTCCTACCTGAGTCTCCCATACCTCTGCTTTGAAGTGATGCTACCCGTTAAAAAAACCACCTTAGCTGCTGCCAGTAAAACAGCCTATCAGAGATGGTAATTAAAAAATATGTTCTCTGCTTGATTATCTTCTAGTCAGCAGATGGCTGGAGGGAAAGAAGGACCCATCTTGGCCACGGAAATAGGCAGTGTCTGTTCTGGGAGATTAGGAAGAGGAGAAATGGCTGATCTTAAATCTTGGCTTGTGTTGACCGGAATTGCTTAATAATCCCATTTCTCTCTTTTCTTCATTTGGTACGCTTGGCAGATTATTCTTGCAAAATAGCAAACTGGAATGCGTAGAAAATGAAAACAGCATCCTCGGCCAAGGAGGAAGTGGAACGGTTATCTATCGGGCACAATATCAAGGGAAACCGGTAGCCATCAAGCGTTTTCAGATTAAAAAATATAATACTTCTGCCAATTCAGCAACAGGTAAGGAAGCCAGTGTTGAGCAATGTGGAAGAGTGGCTCTTTTAAAGTTTAATTTAGTTTATTGTATTGTCATGGCACCTCATACAACAAAATTAAATATCATCTTCAGTGTACAGTATGAGTATGAAAATAAACACAAACACACATCCTTCACACTCCACAACCGAAAACCCTGACACTGCACCAATACTGCACTATACAGCAGAATTCAACAGAACTATTGCCCTGGGATAGAAGCTGTTTTTCAGCCTCTTTGTCCTTATTTTTATTGTCGTGTACCGTCTGCCAGATGGTAATAGTTCAGAAAAAGGGTGCCCAGCATGAGATGGATCTTTGAGAATGTTTTGAACTTTCTTAAGGCAGGAGCTACAAAGGAGCTATAAAGCTCTTCCAAAGAGGGGAGAGAGCAACCAATGATCTTCTGGGCAATGACATTAATCCTCTGGAGTGTGTCCTATCTGCCACTATGCAATTGGCAACCCATACAGAGGGGCAGGAAGTTAAGATACTCTCTTTGGTGCAGCGGTAGAAGGTCACCAGCAGTTTTTCATTCAGTTTTTCATTCAGAGCTGAGAAGTCTCAGGTAGTATAATCTCCGCTGGGCCCTTTTGACCAGGGCTGCAATGCAAGTACCCCAGGTCAGGTCCTTTTTTATAGTAACACCCAGAAACTTAAAACTGGCCACTTGCTCCCCTCGGTCTCCATTGATAAGCAAGGGCTGAATGTCTGATCTGTTCCTATAAGTTCCTTGACAGTGGTGGAATTCATTTTTTTTTTACTACTGGTTCTGTGGGCATGGCTTGGTGGGCGTGGCAGGGGAAGGCTACTGTAAAATCTCCAGTCAGAGGTGGGATTTTCTGGTTCTCCGAACTACTCAAAATTTTCGCTACCGGTTCTCCAGAACTGGTCAGAACCTGCTGAATACCACCTCTGCTCCTTGGTCTTATTGGTGTTGAGGACCAAGTTATTGTTTCCAAAAAGCAACCGATTTTTTCTCCTTCCACGTGTAGGCAAATGTTTCCCCTTTTGGGGAGTAACAGCAGCACCAGTTTAAATGTAGCCTTTAGAGCAGGGGTCTCCAACTTTCTGAACTTTAAGACTTGTGGATTTCAACTCCCTGAATTCCTCCTCCAGTCATGTTAGCTCAGGAATTCTGGGAGTTGAAGTCCACAGGTATTAAACTTGCCAAGTTGAAGACCCCTGCTCTATACCCATTTGCACCACTCGGGTGACCCTGAGGACACAGTTAAACTTCCAGGTGACCTCAATGGCTGTCTAAAATAAGGGTCTTCAAACTTGGCATGTTTAAGACTTGTGGACTTCAACTCCCAGAATTCCTGAGCTAACACGACTAGAAGAGGAATTCTGGGAGTTGAGGTCCACAAGTCATAAAGCTGTCAAGTTTGAGGACCCCTGGTCTAAAAGAATGCAAATGACCAACTGTCTGCAAGGAATATCAATCCTTCCATTCCCCACCATCCAGTCAAAGCTGAAGAAGCTTCTTGGATGAGAAGTGAAATGTCTTCAAAGAAAAAACAAGAAAGTTGCCGCCTGAAATAAAGTATCTTTGGGACACAAGTCTTAAAGTTGACAAGGTTGGAGACCCCTGCTTTCGAGCTTATCTAGAAACTAACTCCATTAATGGAACAAGAGGTAAGAGTTTGGGCTGTGGGAACCCAGTTTATGGAAGCAGGCAAATAGGAATTAAAAGCAGATACCTCCAGCTTGCTTACTGCGGAACAAGAAACAAGAAGAAAAATGTGGTGTGGATTGGAAAAAAATGGTTTTGAATGTAGAGAATTTATGAAGGTATCTTAAAAACCTCCAGTGATGAAGCACCCACAACTTTTGAAGGCAAGCTGTTCCACTGATTAACGGGGAGAACAATTAATCAGTGGAACAGCCTGCCTCCAGAAGTTGTAAGTGCTCCATTACTGGAGGTGTTTAAGAAGAGGCTGGACAGCCATCTGTCTGGAATATATAGGGTTTGCTACTTGAGCAGGGGGTTGGATTATAAGACCTCCAAGGACCCTTCCAGCTCTGTTCTGATTGATTGATTGATTGATTGATTGAAGCTTTCTTCTGCAGACCTTTCATCTATTCTTACTCAGTTTCACAGAGACAATTGATGAGGTCCTCCTGTCTTACATCATGCCTTCCTCCTCAGATGCATATTGAAAGCATCTGAGTATAATTAAAATACAGAATGCAAGACTCTAATATATCCCAAAGGGGTGCATTGCAAAGTGGGCAATGGTTACGAGTTGACCACTGCTTGCAAATTCATCCTGCAGAAGCAACTATTGGGGCCAGTGGCTTACAAGAGGCATTTGGACATCCCTAAATGAGAATGCAGGATCTCATGGGCTTGGGATATGATCCAAAAGTGTGGACCTTATACACACGTCTGTTTTTCTTTGCACAGACACCATGCTGAGGCATCTACGGGCGATGGATGCCATGAAGAGCTTCTCGGAGTTCCGTCAAGAGGCCAGCATGCTCCACTCATTGCAATACCCCTGTGTGGTCTCCTTGATAGGGATCAGCATCCACCCACTCAGCTTGGCCTTAGAACTGGCTCCTTTGGGCAGCCTGACCACTGTACTCTCAGAAAACTCTAAAGGTAAAAGAAAGACCTTCTGCCCAGAGATGTCCACCATGGGATCCTTAGCCAAAATTGCAAAAGTATTCTTTAATTTATGACCACAATTGGGCCCATAATTTATGGGGGACAGTTGTTAAGTGAGTTTTGCCCCATTTTACAACTTTTCTTGCCACAGTTGTTAAATGAATCACTACAGTTGTTAAGTTAACAACAGGGTTGTTAAGTTAATCTGGCTTCCCCATTGACTTTGCTTATCACAAGATCAGAAAAGATGTGTGATGCCGGGACAATTATCATAAATATGAACCCATTGCCAAGTTTGGATCATGTGACCATGGGGATGCCTTAACGGTTGTAACTATGAGAACAGGCATAGGTTACTTTTATCCAGGCTGTGACTTTGAACAGTCCCTAAATGAATGGATTTAAGTTGAAGACTACCTGCACTTTCAGACTTGCAAAATTCTATCAGTGTAGCTTTGAAATAAAATGGATTTTATTTGGTCATTATTCTTTTCTGATTTATCTGGTGAGGTCTTATCAATCTTGCAAGTCTGAAGGTATATCCTCATGCCATCTCATTTATAGCCCAAGAAACTAGGGAGAGTGTCTTCTGAACTTCTTGCCCTGCCCACTATCCAACTGCGGGCTATACCAGTGGTCGCCAACTGGTGGGCTGGGGACCACTGGTGGTCCGCGAGAAAATGTTAGTGGTCCGCAGAGAAATGTCCCCCCCAAAGCACCCCCCAAAGCAATTAATCCAGGCTGCATAGGAATACAAGGCTGTGCCACCCACATGCCCTGCCCACCCACTGGCCCCCACCCTTCAGCCAAGTGCAAACCTTATCTTGAGTAGAGCCATGCGAGCTGGAACTGGAAGGTAAGACCAACGGCGGGGAGGGAAATCCGCCCTGGGGTGGCTTGCTGATGTTGGTGGGAAAGTCGGTCCCATATTCCAGAGCTGCAGTAGATTGGCTCTTTGGTCATCCCAGAGCAACTCCTCCAGTCCATGGCAGGCCGGTGCACCCAGATGGAGGAGCAGCTGCTCCGGGATGACCAAAGGGCCAGTCCTGTGACTACCTCAGCTCTGGAATATGGGACCGACTTTCCCACCAACGTCAGCAAGCCACCATCAGCCAAAATTCATATTAGTGGTCTGCAGGATTTAAAATTATGAGTTTGGTGGTCCCTGAGGTCCAAAAGGTTGGTGATCCCTGGACTATACTATCCCTTATCTGAGTAGTAGCATCTCGTCATCTGAGCTCCCATCTGACTCACATATCATTACATATTTGAGGTAGATATTAGTGTAGCTGACAATCAGATTGTCATGTTTGAAGTGTTCTTTTGCTGTTGCTTCTCAGCTTGCCAACGAACCAGGTGGGAGGGAAGGATGAGATGGAATGTAGGCTCCAGTCATCAAGAAGATGAGCCATGAGAGCCAAGTGTTTGCCAATACCAAAGACTTTTTCTCATAAGAATACAATGATATTCAATTGGACAATGAGACCTGCACTAACAGGAGGAGGGAAAATCTTATGCTTTAATTATGTGCACGGGAATTAGCTAGATCTGGTTTTGCCCTCATCAGTGCTGAAATGATGTATTCAATAACGTTTTGCATTCAGAGATTGGATCGTCTCGACCATGCCTGTCTTGGTTGAGTTCTTCAGCTGGAACGTTGACATAGATGGTCTTTTCTCTTGTCTTTTGCTCTAGGAGCTTCCTTTGTACCTTTGGGACATATGCTGACCTTCAAGATCGCCTATCAGATTGCTGCAGGCCTGGCCTACCTTCACAAGAAGAAAATCATTTTCTGCGACTTGAAATCTGACAACATCCTTGTGTGGTCTTTAGACGTGAAGGAAAGCATCAACATCAAACTATCTGACTATGGGATATCTCGTCAGTCCTTCCATGAAGGAGCTTTGGGGGTGGAGGGTACCCCTGGCTATCAGGCTCCAGAGATACGACCTCGCATCGTCTATGATGAAAAGGTACATGCATAGAAGGTGCCGTGGCAGGCTCTGCCATTCAAACTGCAATTCATGACCCATCTATAGCCAGAGTCAAGATTCTATTTCCCGTCAACATGACAACAAGTGAAATTATATATAGGAGCTGCAGTGGCACAGTGGTTAGAGGGCAGTACTGCAGGCTACTTCTGCTGACTGCTGTCTGCCTGCAATTTGGCAGTTCAGATCTCACCAGGCTCAAGGTTGACTCAGCCTTCCATCCTTCTGAGGTGGGTAAAATGAGGATCCAAAATTGTTGGGGGCAATAAACTGACCCTTTAAACTGCTTAGAAAGGGCTGTAAAGCACTATACAATAAGTCTAAGTGCTATTGCTCTGTGTTCTTGACTGTTCAATCTTTTTTTTTTACAAGCAACTTTTTATAAAAAAAATATTTCTTGTCCCTGACTTCAACATTAGGACACAAAGAGAAATAACAATGCAGTTGTATCTGACTGACATTGCATTCAGTCTTAAATGGGATTTACATCCGCTTTATGTTGAAATGTGACAGTGTTTTTCCCCAGTGTCTCTTAATTTTGCATCTTAATGCTATTTTTTCTCCTGTTGGGTTTTTTTTTCCTTTGCATTGATTGTTATTCTAGGCTTTGGAAATAAATGGAAAGCCAAAAAGTGATGTATAAAAAAAGGGGCAAACAATCTGGTGAAATACAACTCCCACAATCACATGGTCAGGGACGGGGGGGGGGGGGGGCAAAAATTTTTTCTACCAGTTCTGTGGGGGTGGCTAGGTGGGCGTGGCTAGGTGGATGCAGCCATGTGACTGGATGGGCACGACTTCTTTTTTTGCAGCATCCCCCCACACTGCGGGGTTGTTGTTTTTTTACCTCCTAGGCCTCAGGGAAGCCTGGGGGGCTGTTTTTGCTCCCGGAGCATGGGGAGGCACGCAAGACACACACACACACACACACCATGTGCCCCTTTTTGCCTTCTGGACCTCAGGGAAGCCTGCTGGGCAAAGCAGTAAGACAATGAGGAGGATCCCGGCACAGCTGCTCGTCAGGAGGAAAAAAGAAAAAGGAAAGAAAAACCTGGGTAGCTGTAACTAGTGGTTCAGCCGAACAGTAACATTTTTTGCTACCGGTTCACTCGAACCAGGCCGAACCGATAGAATACCACCACTGATCAGGGAGCTCTGTAGAGTAGATCCTCACTTCCTTGCCTTCCCCATTACCATGACTTTGCACTGATTGTTATTCCAGGTTTTGGAAATAAACAGAAAGCCAAGAACGATGTATAAAGGAAGGGGCCAGCAACCTGGTGAAATACAACTCCTACAATCCCGTGCTGATGGGTTCAGGGAGCTTTGCAGTATTGATACTCATTTCCTTGCCTTCCCCACTGCCCTGTTTCTGAATCTCAGTTTCTCTGTCTGTTCTGCTCTGGCTCAGGTGGACATGTTTTCATATGGAATGGTGTTGTATGAGCTGCTGTCGGGGCAACGACCCGTCCTGGGACAACATCAACTGCAAATTTCAAAGAAACTCTCCAAGGGGATTCGGCCCATCCTGGGCCAGGCAGAAGAAGTGCAGTTTCATCGACTTCAGGCTCTCATGATGGAGTGTTGGGACACCAAACCTGAAAAGGTACAAGAGAATTTTGGTATTTAGGCAGTGATGTCTGATGTCTTTCTGAGCTTAAAGAAACGTAGAGCACAGCTAGTCTGTCTTGGCCAGCATTCTATATCTAACAGTGACTAGACAGATAATTCCACAAGGCATCCATACAAAGTCTTTTTATTGGTTCATCAGGCATCCTCAATATAACTTACAGTTACGTCGAGATTCATCTCAATGTCCAACTCTTTGCATAGCTGACTTTCTGGTGTAAAAGGATGGTAATCTTTTATCCCTTTCATCTCGTATCGTGGGAGCAGGGGTAGAGATGCTAGTACAAGGCTGGGTTCAGGCAAGAGTGAAGGAACCTCCCCCAACCCACCAAGGGTCAATTCAGTGACCAATCAGGATTACAGATGTGGCCACATGACATGCACTACATGTCCCAGGATATCTTAACTACATTTACCATGATGCATTCCCTTAAGGGGACAGCTCCCAATTCCTAACTAACTATACCAATTCCCATTAACTATATACTGGCTGGACAGCACAGTGACCAACTGAATATTCACATCCTATTTGATTGTTGCCTATATAAGAGGGTGAGAGACAGGTCCCTCGATCTATATACCAAACGAATGACCCGTTGGGATCCCCATATCAAAATAGCTTCCCTTTTGTGTGGCCAGAATCTGAAAATAACATTTAACACAGCACAGGACTTAAGCAAAGTGGTTCAGTTGAGATCTGCGTATATGGGACCAATTGGGGTAGATTGCAGGGGTGACACCAAAAGATAATCTCTATATATAAAAGTGAAATACCATTCATGCATCATCACAAAATCTCTAGAACCATAAAGCCTACAAACTTGAAATTTGGCACGTATGTTTCTCTTGGCTTCTAGGTGATCACTAAGAATGAATTTTTCTATTCCCCCTCCCCACCTAAAAGAAATCTGTTGCAAATGCAAAACATAAGCAAAGGAGAGGAGTTTCAGTTTCTGTTTAGTTTCACAGCACCAAGCAGCTTTAATACAGTACAGTTGAGCTAAGCCACGCCCAGGCACCTTGCTGTCTCCTTCTTGCTCACACAGCAAATACTGTTTCAGTTTCTCAACTCTCTCACACACTGACAAGAAGCTAGCCAGATGAATATGGATGGATGCTGGTAGGTAGAGGCAGAATTTTTTTCCCTTAGTTTCCTCCCCAAAAACTACGGTTGACCACATAATTTTGTAGCGAAGCACAGATATCAAGCTAGTTTTTATCATATTTTATCTATATTTTAAATTATTGTATTCTATTCCAAGTTCATTTTGGACTATATTTTATTCCAATTTTATTTTAAATTGTATTTTATCCAATTCCATTTTAAATTGCTCTTATCAAATTTTAGTAATAATTTGTTTCTGGAACTTTGCACTTGGATAAGGCCCAAGGGCTAATCAATAGATAAAGACTAATAAAGGCCAACTGAAACCCTAAAGAGAAGACATGATACGTGGAATCCCTCTGAACTTCAATGTTGGACTCCAAGATTCTTGGAGACCAAAAATACAGGCAGTCCTTGACTTACAATAGTTTGATGGAAGTTACAACGGCATTGGAAAAATAATACTTATGGCCATTTTTTCACACTTACAACTGTTGCAGCATCCCTGTGATCACGTGATCAAAATCCAGACACTTGGCAACTGACTCATATTTATGACGGTTGCACTGTCTGAGTGATCCCCTTTTGCAACCTTCTGACCAGCAATGTCAATGGGGAAGCCAGATTCACTTAACAACCATGTTGCTAACTTAATAACTGTTGGGATTCTCTTAACAACTGTGGCAAGAAAGGTCGTAAAATGGGACAAAACTCACTGAACAAATGTTTCACTTAGCAACATAAAGTTTGGGCTCCATTGTAGTCGTAAGTCGAGGACTACCTGCAGATCATAACAAGTTGGGATTCCTCAAATTAGCCTTGTCTATGCATATTATCCATATATGTCAGATAAAAATCCCATCTTCTCAGCCAACTATTTGGTCCATCTAAGCGAGACACTGCAATCGTGGCTCAGGGCACCTGCAAGGCATTTTTTGTTCGTTGTTGCTACAGCACTCATATTGTAAATTAACAAATGCTTCGGTCCTTCTATGGTGCTTGGTTGTGTCATAAGATGGGAGCACATGTCAGGCTGAATAATAGTTTCTTGAAACTATGATTTCTTGGGCAAGCTGCAGCCTTGATGGCTTAGTATAAATCCAGCCTGTAAATACAGACAGAGTTCTGAACAGGGCTCAGTGGTCGTGCAATGGTTAGAATGCAGTATTGCAGGCTACTTCTGCTGACTGCCCACTGCCAGCAGTTCAATCCTGACTGGCTCAAGATTGACTCAGCCTTCCATCTTTCCGAGGTGGGTAAAATGAGGATCCAGATTGTTGGGGCCAATACGCTGACTCTAAAACTGCTTAGAGCACTGTGAAGTGGTATATAAGTATATAAGTGCTGCTATTGCTATATAATTTCATTCTTCATGTCTAACCTTCCTTTTATACAGCGGCCACTGGCCATTTCAGTTATAGGACAAATGAAAAGTCCTTCCTTTGCCACATTCATGTACTGCTTGCCCTGTGGGAAACAGTCTTTCTTCTCTTCTCAAGGACAGGACCACACTGTAGTATTCTGGGATGAGAAGGAAGATACAAGGTTTGTATTTAAAAAAAACCCATTTACATTGTGCTCTGCAATGTAAATAGATTGTTTGCTCAGTATTTCCTGAGTTGTGGATAGTGATGCTTTCCTCAAACACTGTATGAAGGGTTTTTTTTCCCTTCTTCACCCTCTTTTCTTATTATAAACACTGTAATTTGTGGTGTTCTTGGTGCTCTATAAGCTTGGTGGTTTATTTTCAGACATTTCATTACCCAACTAGATAACATCATCAGTTCACCATTGATGTCACCTAGTTGGGCAATGAAACATTTACAAGATAACCACCAAGCTCAGAGAGCACCAAGGACCCCACAGTTCAACCATGAGCTACAAATATTTTCTTCTGCTGATACCTGCAATTTGTTTTGCTCTCATTTCCAGATTAAAAGATATTAATTGGTTAGACTATCCTGCCTGTAGGTCCTGAAGAACATGGCCTTTAGTTTAATGGTTGGAAATTATGGGTATTATTTCCCAACCCATATGGAAGGCATCCTATGGAGGTAGCTGATGCAATATCTGAGATCTGTTGGGATGCCCCAAACAGGAAAGAAGTCAATGGTCCATTTGGTCCCCATTAGAACATGATCTATTGGACCATTAGAAAAAGAACCATCTAGTGGCAAGATGGCCTTGAAATAAATGTTTTCACAGTTTGAACCTTCCAGATTTGGCAACTTGAGGTATCCATGCTTTCCTCAAAAGGGTTTCTTAACCTTCTATAAGTTCATTACAAATTCCCTGAGATCATTTTGGGCTAACAGAATGACCATTATATACAGGACTAAAGTAAATTGACCAGGTTGAGAATAACGGATTACTCATTTTCAACTGGTTTAAACAATCCCCATTCTTCACTGTTTTCTGGTTGCTTGCATTTGTGTATTTTCATGCAGAGCAACAAACCAAAATAGCACATCTGATTCAAATTCTTAGCTGCATAACGTCTTTGTTGTCTCCAGTCTTTTAAAGATGTCCAGTATCCACATTTATGCGTTCTTTGTGGTTTTCTCTTGCAAACACAAACAGTGTCATCTTCGAGTTAATAGAAAAACAAGCTCTTTGTTCCTCTTTGGAAAAGTTATCCTCATACATCGTTTGAAGATGGGTCTACAAACATTATGGATAATCTAACTTAACTTTGCATTGGGTTACATACATAAATTGTGGACATGGAGGATGCGTAGCAGGACAAGAATCCAAGTTGGGGTAGTGCAGAGTATCAGTGCACGACATTAGAATTGCTGGTTGGGCCAAGCCTCCTCAGTCAGGAAAACATAGATTTGGTGTTCACACTGGGGCAAAAAGAAAAAGAAAATGGTAGGAAGGAAAATTGTTTGAAATGGTATAGATTGTCCAACCTGAACAGGGGCTTGGAGTAGAAGACCTCCAAGGTTCCTTCCAGCTCTATTCTGATTGATAAAAAATTGATAAAAGACACAAATAATGAAATGGAGCTAAGAAGGCTAAAGGCTAAGATTGCCTTGGTCCAGTGCTTCTATATAGGCATATTGTTTATATTACATATAATTACCTTGTTGAATGACATGCCCTCCATCTTCTCTTCAAAGTAAGAGTCCTTATAGCAGGGGGAGGAATAATAAGAAATTAATAGCGACCCTAGGAACTGATGTGGCGGGTTGGTTAGAGTGTTGGACCAGGATGGGAAGAAGAAGAAGTAAATTTAAGTTCATCCTCAATTATGAAAGTCCACGGAACCATTTTGTTTTCTTTAACCTCCCTCACAGGTGTATGGAAAAATGAGAGGAGAGAATGCTTTGTAATCTCCTGGAAGAAAAGGCTAAGTAGTAATCTGATCAATTGATCAGTAATCTGATCAATAAACTATGATGAGATATATATTTTGTAGGAAAAAAGACCCAAACCCATACAGAATTGTGATTTTTCTTTGCTTCTCATTGATGCTGTCCTGTGCCTTTTGATTTAATTCCCCTTTCCTGATTTCAGGAACTACACTGTAGTAAATACAGAGAAAGGATTCATAGAGGTTTCCAAAATGAGTTGTCCAGGAATGAAGCTATGCTGCCAGCTGAAACTTCAGAACTCTCTTTGGACTGCAACAGAGGTGTGTCTCAACCCATCTGTTCTGAATTTGAACTCTTTTCTTCTCTTTAAAGGAGACTTTATACCATCCCAGACTATTTGTCTAGTCTATTTCTTAAAACCTCCAGTGATGGAGCTCCCATAGCTCCTGGAGGCAAGAGGTCGCACTGATTAATTGTTTTCACTGTCAGAAAATTTATCCATATTTCTTGGTTGGATCTCTCTTTATCAAGCTTCCACCCCGTTACTTCTTTTCCTTCTCTCCGGTGCTTTGGAAAATAAGTCAATTCCCTTTTCTCTATGACAGTACAATTTAATCTACTGCAACCAAGGTTTCAAATGAGTAGCTTGCATTCCATATCACTTTTCTTCCTATTTTCCGTTCTTAACAATAGATGGTAAAGGAAAGCAAAAATGTTTTGACTTTTCTTGGAATTTCCAGATGACTTTTTATTCTGTATCAATGCTTTGCCTCTTCCATGGAATGCTAAAGCCCATCTTAACACCGTCTCACTCCCTGGGTTTCCCCATCACAATTCTGTCAATTCCAATTACAGAAAATAGTTTTAAAAGAGCGCAAAGGGGAATGTTGCACTTTTCTTTCCACCATTTAAAGCAGGGGTGTCCAACCTTGGCAACTTTAAGACTTGTGGACTTCAACTCCCAGAATTCCTCAGCCAGCAAAGTCCACAAGTCTTAAAGTTGCCAAGGTTGGACACCCCTGATTTAAAGTGACCTCATTACAATTAACTAGTGCTGATGTTTTCTCTTTAACCCTGACTTAAAGAGATTCTAAATGTCAGAAGATTTTTTTTTTTTGATAAAATATCTTTAATGTAATTTAAGAAACGGATACACAGAATCTTAAAATTTTTGGCTATAATGAGATACATAACTCTCTGCTTTTCTTGCAAACTGCTATTCTGTATTTTCATCCTTGAAAAAAAGATAGTGTAAACACTATCTAAATCCATTTTCTTTTGATCTCTTACAGGACCAGAAGATTTACATATATAGTTTACAAGGAATGTGTCCTCTGAAGGCTCCACAGAAAGGCATAGACACTCCAGCTGTTGTCACCTGCTTTCTTGCGGTGCCTTTGATGAAAAAGGTAAAGAGATTTCAAACACAAGACAATCATAACTTCCAAGCACACCCAAAATAAAGTTTTAATGTTCTTTATTTTTGTCTTAGAACAGCTGAAGATACAAGAATGGCTGTCGATTTAATGGCAGAATTAAAGCAATACCTCCACCTGCTGATAGGTTGGAGAATTAATTAAGCCCCCTGTTTGAGTGCACATTTCGTGCTGATTATCTGAGAGCTAAATTTGGGGATTGAGTCAGGACAAAATTTGAGCGTGGTGCTAGCATGTTGGGGTAGATGTGGGTATGATATAATGGAACTGAAAACTACTAAGATATTGTAACGTTGAAATGAATCCATAAGTCACACGGTAAGATTCTTTTAAGCATATTTCTATGTATAATTGGTTGGTTTGTTTATTTATATCCCACCTTTAATAATACTTAAGGTGGAAATCTATTCCCTCTCCTATTTTCCCCATAACAACAACCCTGTTTGGGCTGAGAAAAGGGACTGGCTCAGGTCAGCTGGCTTTCTTGGCTGAGGTGGGACTTGAACTCACACTCTCTTGCTCTCTGGTGCCTTAACCACTAGACCAAACTGCTTCTCTTTGATTACTTTTTACTATTTACTCACTTTGATCAGATATTATTTTGACAAAGCTTCTAGAGATCTTAGTTTGCTGTTGCACCAAGAGAAGAGACCCAATACTATAATGCATCTCCTGCACAACTAGAAAACAAGTATTACTTGGCAAAGCCCAATCTTTGGTTGACATGATTATACAATAAAAAAGTTTCTCTTTGGATTGTTACGTTGGTTTACTCAAAGACTGAACTCTGCAATAAATAAATATCTAATAAAGGGTATCCTTATCACTTGGCCACATTCTTGATTTGACAGTCACTGTAAGTCTTGATTAATGAAAAATATAATTCTCAAGTTGCTACTACGGCTCAAAAGTTGCATTCCTTCAGGTCTATAATACATGGCATGGCCAATCTTAGTTTACCAAAATATCAGCAGAATCAAAATGTTATTATCATCATCCTCATCCTCATGTCATCACCATTTACTAATAGTAGCTACTTGATTTTATGGTTTTATAATTTATGTTTTTTATAAGTCTGGGTTTTATTGTTGTGAGTTACCGAGAGTTGTTGATTTTTTTTAAAAAAAGTTGGGCAGCCATACAATCTAAGTTGCGTGTCACTTTTCATACTGATTATCATATCATTTATCTCAGTCAGTGACCTGATCTTCTGAGTATCTTACTAAGTGAGTATTTTACTAAGCAAACAGTCTATTCTGGTCTTTCCTTTGTTAGTTCAGCAACCATGAACAGAATTAGGAAAAGAAAAAAGAAATTATAACAGTCCCAGTCTCATTTCTCCTTTTTTTTCCTCCAAAACTATTCTTAAAGGCATCTTTGGAACAATATCTTACTTTCAAATGTCTTTGGAACTAAAAAAGTTTGATCAGCTGGCCTTTGCTAGGAATGTTAAAGCTGTTTAAACACACTTTGTTTTCCTGTATGGATCATGCAGAGGTGGGTGGAATATGTGGAAATTCTGCCTCAAAGGTAATTATTTTTCTACTCCAGATCTTACAATGGTGTATTTTCTTTCTCCTTTCTTCACTGGGAATTTGTCACAGAGGTTTTTATGGGGAGGCTCACGGATTATTTTTGTGATCTGAGCCATCTTTTTATTCATTTTATCTCCCTGGTGGATATTTTAAACTCCTTTTTTTTAGCAAGATGGATTGTTCTCTCAAAGAATTTTACATTAGTCACTGAAACAGCAGGAGAGCATTATTTAAAGATATATTGAAATGATAGCACTGTAATGATACACAGCAAGATTAATTACTTGCCATTTAATACTTGGTTATATCCTGATTGTACAGCATGAAAGTGAAGATTAGCCAACTTCAAGCTTTCTTTTAGTGTTCATTTCAACTGTTGTCCCTTGATTTCCATCTTCTTTTGTGCGCCATACTCCAAATTTGTTTGCCTTGTCTGAGGTTCATACAGAGAAATTTAGCTTTAATCAGTTGAGAGAGTGCCTCTTATTCCTGATTGTTTAATTGGAGAGTGTAGCATCTGCCAAGATGTCATTATGCCAGTGACCTCATTGTGAATCATCTGTGTAACTGCATTATTATTAAAATTATGTACATGCAAGGGAAATATTCCTTGCATCAAGATCCACCATCCTCAGGATTCTGAGTTGACAAAAATATGCAGCATATATCAGATTGTTCACAAATGATGCCCTCCAGACTGGATTACAGCTCTCTGAATTTTCTTCCCAGTATATAAGGATGCTACCAGATGGAAGAAGTTCTACGGGTAATCCTCGATTTATAATGGTTCATTTATTGACCTTTCAAAGTTACAACTGTCAGCGTTCCAGCAAACCTCCACTCCAACCAATAACTCCGAGACAGACATCTTCTCAAAAGTTATTTTTATTATGGATAATAAACTGGCACAACTGGGAAATCCCGAATCTGAAAGTTCCGGGCTTCCTTGCAAGAAGTAAAAACTACAAATCCACTGCCTGCACCCATCATCACATTACATGCCCCAATCACCATCCATCCCAACTTGAGACTTCCTCTCACTTTTGTGCCAAATAACATGACCTTGAATTAGAAAAAGAATGTTATTATGTCTAACTACATACACTCCAAGAAATTCCCCCCTCCCACTTTTCCAGTCTCAAAATGTGACAGTGTGGGAGCATCTGGTCTCAATATGGCTTCCAACGCTGACAACAACGGCATTGAAAAAGGTGACTTACTGTATGGCTGTTTTTCACACTTATGATCATTACAGCCTCCCCATGGTCACGTGATCAAAATTCAGATGCTTGACAACTGACTCATATTTATGACAGATGCAGTGTGCCAGGGTCACATGTTCCCCTTTTGGGACCTTCTGGTGAGCAAAGTCAACGGGGAAGCCAGCTTCACTTAACAACTCTGTTACTTATTTAATAACTGCAGTGATTCACTTAACAAAGGTGGCAAGAAAGGTTGTAACACTGGGTAAAATTCACTTAACAAATTTTTCACTTAGCAGCATAAATTTGGGGCTACCTGTATTTTGTTTATTGATGTGATATTATATTACGTGGGCTAAAGAATTATTAAGAAAGAAGATCAGACAACATTTATTACAGTCGAAGACCAGAGCTAGTTAAAACTCAAGGAATATCCAGTTAGAAATTCTGGGGTAAGATAATAAATAAAATCTATATTAAAATCGCAATTGGCGGCCAGATTAAAGAATTATTAAGAAGGTTATTATTGATATTAATTATTAAGAAGAAATCAGAAACTGCCACGTACTTTAGGAAGATATTACTAGATGGCCCCTTGATCCTTTATAGGTGGTCCTCGACTTACAACTGGTCATTGTTCGAAGTTACAGCGGCACTGAAAAAAGCAACTTATGACCATTTTTCACATGACCGTTGTAGTGTCCCCATGGTCACATGATTTACATTCAGGTACTTGTCCAATGTTTCATATTTATGATGGTCACAGTGTCCCAGGCTGGCATGATCCCCTTCTGCAACCTTCTGTTGTGGTTAGCCGGCAGCAGGTGCAGATGGCTGAGGAGAGCGAGGACTCGGATGAGGGACTAGAACCATTAGGGAGTGGACTGCTGCCTTCAGAGATTGTGGGGGCTGGCAGCAGTGATGAGGAGGTTCCCGAGGAGCCTGTGCCAAGTGCGTGTGCACGCATGGTAGCTCGCAGGAAAGAGCAACCCTGCGTACACGCGCAGCAGCACAGGTGACTCAGGAATGAGGCCGCAAGGTAATGGACCCTCCTTCAAGAAGATAAAAGCCAGCTGTGATGTGAGCGTTCTTTGCAGGAAGCAATAACATTTTGAAACTCCAGCTTCATGGACATTGCAGTATCTTAGTTGGTATTTGAAGACTCATGTGTTGTGAAATATTTCTTATCTGTGATTCTTGGCAGCCTCGCACAGTTTTGGCAAGGTTTGTGCTTATCAAAGTTAATTAGTTTGCAGCAGCCTTTTAACTGGGGATTCGTAAGACTCATTAAAAGGTTTCTGTTCCCTTTGATTATTGTTTGCCTTATTGGAAAAGGGTTTGGGCCAGAACATCTACTGACAAGCAAAGTCAATGGGGAAAACCAGATTAACTTAACAACCGGGTCACTAATTTAAGAACTGCAGGGATTTGCTTAACGAATGTGGTGAGAAAAGTCTAAAAGGGGGCAAAACTCACCTTAACCGATTTCTCACTTAACAACATAAATTTTGGGGGGGCTCAGTTGTGGCCATAAGTTGAGGATTAGCTGTACTCTGCTCAAAACTGTAGGTGCTCAAAACCTTTATCTAGTATTTGTGTTTGTCTACCTTTAGAACTGCTACGTGGTCCTGGCTGGCTTATCTGATGGACTGATTGCAGTTTTCCAAGTCACAAGTGGCGCCCTGGAGGACAATTGCTGCTATCTTTGCTCCCACATGGCAAACCGTTCCTTGTTCAATATCAGCGATGACGACCCCCGCCAGAATCCTTACTCTGTGAAAGCCATGGAAATGGCCAATAATGGAGCAGAAGTCTGGTACAGCAATGGCCCCGGTATCCTTATCATAAACTGCAAAGCCATGGAGATCACCAGGCGACTGGAGCCCTACAGTTTGCCATCCACTGTGGTATCCATTGTGTGCAGCTCCGATTGCAACGGGGAAGAAGTGACCTGGTGTTTAGATGATGCCACCAACTTCCTGGTGATGTACTACACCTCTACCTATCAGCTCTGTGCCCGATACTTCTGTGGGGATCGTAGCCCCCTGAGGGACATGTTCACAATTCAACAGCCTTCAACCTTGATTCCTACAACACTAACTGCAAACAGGGATGTGGCTCCTGAGAGCACCTCTTTGGCCAATGTGAGCATCCTTCAGAGCCGAGAACTTGGCACTCAAATACTAAACCACCAGGACTCCATGACAGACTACTGCTCTGTGTCCTCTTACTCACCATCATCTCCTAGCAGGATGCTGAGATCTTCCTCAAGTCTCCCAAGCTCTCCCACAAGTTCTTCCAGCACACCTTTCTTGACCGACTGTGAAGAGCTCAACAAGCTTCAAGAGCCAAATCTTCCTTTGGAGAAGACTGAAACGTTTCTCCAAGCTATGCAGATCCTACCTGTAAAAGATCTCTTGTGGATTCCCAGGTAAATTGGATTGGGAACCACAGGGAGCACAGTTTCTTCAGAGCTCACTAGAATTGGGAGCTATGCTAATTGTTTAGATGTTCCCATGCTTCCAGATAAATTGTTTTGGAAAATCATGTCAGTCTCGGGGAAGTTTCAATGCACATCTTAATTGCATTTAAAGCCATAGCAATTTCTGAAGTTCTCATATTCTCAGGTAAATTGTGTTGGGAACCATAGGAAATGCATGAAATTTAATTGAAAAACTCACTATTGCCTTCCCTCGCTATTTAAAGATTTTATTATGGTGATATTTTTCACTGACATTCTCATACATCAAGGAGCAGAAAAATTGTTGTTAGTTGCAAAGTCGTGTCCGACCCATCGCAACCCCATGGACAACGTTCCTCTAGGTCTTTCTGTCCTCTACCATCTTCTGGAGTCCATTTAAGCTCATGCCTACTGCTTCAGTGACTCCATCCAGCCACCTCATTCTCTGCCTTCCCGTTCTTCTTCTATTGCCCTCAGTCTTTCCCAGCATTAGGCTCTTCTCCAGCGAGTCCTTCCTTCTCATTAGGTGGCCAAAGTATTTGAGTTTCAACTTCAGGATCTGGTCTTTTAAAGAGCAGTCAGAGTTGATGTCCTCTAGGACTGACCAGTTGGATTGTCTTGCAATCCAAAGGACTCACAGGAGTCTTCTCCAGCATGAGAGTTCAAAGGCCTCCATTCTTTGGTGCTCAGCAGAACAATATTAATGTTCAAAATTTCATGCCACAAAAAATGGCCAGTGGTCCAGGCTAGACAAATTCTTTAAAAAGCTTATATTAACCTAAGGTTCTTTTTCCCAATGTACCTAATGAATCCTGATGGTCAGATGACATTTATGGGGGAGGGAAAATTATTCTTTCACACCCTACTTTTTTGGGGAACTTTGGGGAACAAGACAGTGGAGTAAATAAAGTCTGGATCTGATTTTTCCATTATTAATGGCTGAATTAACATCAAGGAAGAGAAAAAGCAAAACTATGCATCTGGAAATGCCAGTTAAGATCGGCCTCTTCCACAAACACTTCTTGTTTCCTTCGGATGTCTCCCGAAGTCCCATAATCAGCTTGTTTCTCCATTCTAGGCAAGGTGGTGATATCATTGTGATTGGCTTGGAAAAGGAAGCCATCTCTCAGCGAGGAAGAGTCATTGCTGTGCTGAAGGCTGTGGAGCTGGCCTCCTATGGGTAAGGGGGAACTGGAAAGACAGTTGATGCTGGGAGTGATTGGCCCACAGTCAAAAGGTTAATTTTAGGCAGGGAAAGGGAAGGGCTGCCAGGCAAGGATCCTTTTCTGCACCAAGACGAACCCTAAGCTGAAGTTAACTTCATAACAAATAGTGATAGAAGAAAAATGTATCTACTGTATCAGATGCGAAGTATCAGGACCACATGTTAACTCCAGTTAGTCTGATGTATTGCTCATGCCTATACACAAGAATATGGTCAACTAACAGTCAGCACTAAATTGATGCTAGGTAAGAGTCAACGGAATTCAAGCGGGGTTGTACTTAGAGCATTTGTGGGAATGTAATGACTCTAGGCTGATTACTCTCTTAACTCCACCTCTCCAGAACCTGAACTCCTAGTTTAGAGAATTGACTTCTAGAAACTATCACCTCTCCTCACCCTATTCATGCAGCATGGAGAAGGCTTTGCGTGGTTTAGAAGAAAACAGAACATTCCAGGGTTCTCTGGAACGGCCCATTCCTCAGTTGACCAGTTGTGCATATCCATACTTAAAAACACTACATTTTTACACACTGTTGATTCAGTTCTATTCAAGGAAAGCAATCTATCCTTCTGAGAGCGGGGTACATTATGCAAGTTGTTTGCTTTTATCGCTGCATATTTTATTCCTGATTTTTAAATTGGCACAATTGAGAAATGGGGAACATAGGACGTTTGAACATTTGGCCCATAAGACTCTAAATAATTCCTACAGAGCCACAATTTATGAGAATAATCTAAACCACCGAGTGGACGGCAGATTTCTTAATCCTGGAATATGTTGTCAATTAGTTCAGGGGTGGGCTTCAAAAATTTTTAGCAAAAGGTTCTCTGCTCGGTTGCTGGGTGGGCGCGGCTATGGTGGGCGTGGCCTAGTAAGCCTCCTGCACCATGGCGGGGGGGGGGTGTTTTTGCCCTCCCCATGTTCCTGAGGCTTTCCTCAAGCTTCTGGGAGGGTGAAAACGGGCCCATTTCCGGCCTTCCTGAACTTCCGGGCGGCCTGTTTTTTGCCCTCCCCAAGCTTCTGCGCATACCCTGCCCTTACCTGCATCCAAACAGGCCGTGTGGGGACTCCTGGGAGGGGAGGGGCGATTGGGGCCAGGCAGGAGTGGGATTTGGGGGTTCTCCTAACTGCACAGAATCTTAGCTAGGGGCTCTCCTGAACCCCTGCGAACCCCCAGCAGCCCTCCCCTGAATTAGTTAAGCATCATGAAAGGCGAAGATGTGCCATTTAGACATTAAAGCAGGCCTATCTCTATGCAATAGCCACTACAGATAGTCCTTGACTTATCGGACTGATCAAATCGAGCCCAAAATTCCCGTTGCCAAGCGAGACCCTTGTTAAGTGAATTTTGACCCATTTTGCAACCTTTCTTACCACCGTTGTTAAGTGAATCACTGCAGTTGTTAAGTTAGTCACATGGTGGCTAAGGGAATCTGGCTCCCCCCTTGATTTTGCTGATCAAAAGATCCCCAAAGGGAATCACGATCCTGGGACACCGCAACCATCATAAATACGAGCCAGTTGCCAAGCCCCTGAATTCTGATCACGTGAGCCGTGAGGAATGCTGCAACGGTCATAAATGTGACAAATGGCCCTAAGTTGCTTTTTTTCAAGTGCCGTTATAAATCACTAAATGAATTGTTGTAAATTGAGGACTGCCTGTTCTACCAAGACATTTTCTTTGGTAAATTAATCCATGTTTTGTTTTTCAGGTCACTGGTGGATGCTGCTGTTCTGGCCAAAGACCGCGTTGTGTGTTGCTTCCAAAATGAGTTGAAGGAATGGTGCTTGGCTCTCTGGAGGAGTTGGGAAGCCAAAGACTTTGATCTTTTCTATCAATCACATGAAGAATTAGGGAGACTTGAAATCTGCCTGCGCAAGAGAAGGTAGTGTCTGTAGATCAGAGGCCCCGATCAGAAAACTGACACCCTTTGATGTCTTGAAGACACCCAGACTTTCCTAAAAAGGGAGCGGTTGCTCCCCGGTTCTGCTGCTAAGAGAAACCAAAGAGAGCTCATCCCACTTCGTGCATTTGGATTCCCAGCCATGGAATTATGAAACAATTGTCCACATCGTCTTCCAGTCAGATGCAGGTGTAAACCAACCAACTCCATCTCTGCAGGGTCTCTGTAATGCTGTTTTGTGTTGTAGCCCATTGCTAAACACGACACTTTGGGCCAGTGGTGGGATTCAAATTTTTTTTAACTACTGGTTCTGTGAGTGTGGCTTGGTGGGCATTGAAGGGGAGGAATGCTGTAAAATCTCAATTCCCTCTCCACTCCTGGGGGAAGGATACTGCAAAATCTCCATTCCCTCTCCACCCCCCTAACCTGCTTTCCAGCTCCGTTCTCCTGTGCAGGGTAACCAAAGAAGACCCAGCCAATCAGCTGGGACTTGATGGGAGGCAGAGAATAGATGGGGACAGGGCCAGTCAGAGGTGGTATTTGCCAGTTCTCCAAACTACTCAAAATTTCCGCTACTGGTTCTCCAGAACCGGTCAGAACCTGGTGAATAAAAAAAAAAACAGTACCAGTTCTAGAGAATCGGTAGCGGAAATTTTGAGTAGCTCGGAGAACTGGCAAATACCACCTCTGCAGATTTTACAGTATCCTTCCAATGCCACGCCCACCAAGCCACGCCCACAGAACCAGTAGTAAAAAAAAATTGAATCCCACCACTGCTTTGGGCGTGTTGTCTTCCAGGATAGAATATGACTGACAATTGCATGTCAACTTTCATTCTTGTGATAGACTGCAGGAGGAAACAGGGACGACGGGAGTCCAATTATGGTTATGAATTGTGTCTGTATGAAATTCTCCAGTTCTGACGGTATGACAAGAACTAAAATAGGTTAAATGAGATTGTAGGAAGAATGTCTGATTGTGGTGGAAAGGGCCTTTATATTTCTTACTCTTCTAGGTTAAACCCAACATGTTTCAGAATATACTTATATTCTAGGTTAACGCCTCCATGTTAAACCCAATGCTCTTGAGAATATAATTATAAAACACGGAAACTTTCAATTCCACAGAAGCAAAGTTTCCACAAAGTTTTGAGGCTGGCCCCAAATGAATGCAAGCTGATTTTAAATCATTTAGGGATCAGGGACTAAATGGTGATGAATTTGTGCCTCTGTGTGTGTGTCTTTGTGTGTTGTTATCACTTTATCATCATCAATTAAAGAGCTATGGTGGTGCCATGGTTCGAATGCAGTACTGCAGGCTAACTCACTGCTCACTGCCAGGAGTTCGATCCTGACTGGCTCAAGGTTGACTCAGCCTTCCATCCATCCCAGGTTGTAAAATGAAGACCCAGATTGTTGGGGGCAAGAGGCTGACTCTGTAAACCACTTAGAGTGGGCTGAAAAGCACTATAAAGTGGTATATAAGTCTAAGTGCTATTGCTATCATTTCAGCCTTATTGGAGCCAATCAGGACACAAATGAAGCACATCATATTTATATTTTTATGAATGTATTGACAATTGAAGAAGGCTTTTTTGAGATAATTTTTCCAAGAGAAGGGAACTAGAAAATGCATTCTGATCTAATTGTGGGTTGATTATTATACATTCGCTCTTATTGCTACTGCATTTTAACTATTAGCCTCTTCACAGTCTATAACTCACCATTCTTAGTCAACTCTGGACTCCTATTTTGACTGGGAGGGAAAAGAAGGAACTTTCATACCGAACTGGTCTATTACAACGTTAGTATAAACCTGGTTTCATGCATGTTTTTTCATCTGACTTTTCCTTATATGGCTGCAGAAGCTTAGGAAGAAACATGGGGCAGATAGATCAATTTGTCTTCAGACAATTCCTGCTAATATTTTCCTTGTAAACTGTGTCTATTAAAAGCATTAATTAAAAAGTGATTGCCATGGACTACCTCTTTTGCAAAATTGTAGGAAGCAAGCTGAATGAGTGCTCTTCTTTTCCTGACAGTTAGAACAATTACTCAGCGGAACAGTTTGCCTTCGGAAGCTGTGAATGCTCCAACACTGGAAGTTTTTACGAAGAGATTGGGCAACCATTTGTCTGAAGTAGTGTAGGGTTTCCTGCCTAAGCAGGGGGATGGACTAGAAGACCTTCAAGGTCCCTTCCAACTCTGTTATTCTATTCTATTCTATTCCATTCCATTCCATTCCATTCCATTCCATTCCAT